GAGGAAGTTCCTTGCCACAATGATACTTTGAGTTGGGGCTGGAAGCCCTTGGAAGTTTGGAATCTTGTAAGGAAGTATTCGGTAGTAGTTGTGGATGCTCCAACTTGATGGGCTCCACTGGACCTGGACGTGTCACGGTCGATGATGGTTCGATGGTGATGTAGTCGGTAGATCCTTTGGTTGGTGATGTCACTGCTCTTACACTCCTGTGAGATGACTGTGGCAGGACTTGTAGTTGTATCTGTGGTTGGCTTGTTTTGTTGTACTGGTGTACTTCTGTTGTTGTAGGATTGTAGGTTGGATTTTGGGTACCACCACACTCCTGTGCACTTGCTGTGATCAAATAGCAAGGGCATGGACTTGTAATGGTATTGTTGTTACCTGCCTGGAGGCTGTTGTTGCCTCAGGTTTGCCTGTAATCAGGGGAGGAAGTGCTGTGGATTAGTTGCACAATACACATTCCAAAAAAGTAGGAGGAGGAGGTGCTGTGGCTTGGATGCCACAAGACACACTCCAAAGAAAGGGTAGGAGGTGCTGAGGGTGAACTCAGTACACTCCAAAGAAAATAATTCAATGCTGGGGCGGATGCACTCCTGTGCTTCCTGTAGCTTTGTTCTGCTTGCATTGCTCCAGTGGCTTGCATTGGATGTGCTTCGCTCTGTACCGGTAGCTAGCTAGCTATCTGGTGCAGGACATGCTCCGGTAGCTCCTGTACCGGTGGCATGCTTGGATTCGCCATGCAAATCCTCTTGTTGCCGACGTACGGAGAGATCAAACGGTAGCTTGGATCTGGCTCCGTACACTCCTGGAAAGATATCACGGAAAGATACCTTTTTCTGTTCAGTGACTTTTCTTGTGTCAGTCGCTGAACTCTGGCTTGTTCTAGGAGTTCATTGCCAGAACTGCTGTCAGATTTCCTCACAAAAAGCAAGGACTTCTTCTGCCGACAGCAGTTGCCGACACTGTTGTTGCTGTCGGTATCCACAAGCGATAGCTTGTTCTTGTGGCAGCAGTAACGACTGGTGAGTAGTAGCAGTCGCTGTTCTTGTTCTTCTTGTTGTCGCCGTAGCGGCTTGGTAGCAGTAGCTGTCGTCCTTTGATCGCTCGTTGACTGGGTGGCTTCTGCTGCCCACACTCTTGTTGTCGACCCTGTTGTCAGCGTCGCTGTTCTTTGTTTGCTTTGCCGACACTGCTGTGCGCCAATGGCAGTAGCAAACCTTGTGTGCATTTTGACAGTAACTAGTGGTAGCGGCTGCTAGTAGTAGTCGTCGCCGTTCTTCTTGTTGGTAGCGTCCGTTGGATGCAGCTCGGTTCCTGTTGCATTCCAGGACTTTCACTCTTCAGAGCCTGTGACAGTATAGTAGCCCACTTCCGTGTATGACAGTCCTTCCGTAGGACCTATCGTTGTCGAGTAATCGGCCTGGCAATTTGTCTTGTCGTGTGTTGGAATTTTCTATTCCGTCGCTCGCACCTCTCCTCTATTGGCACTGATTCGATGCCTTGATAATGAGGTTGTAGCAACTCCCGCAGAAGTACCTCTGAGGTTCCTGCATTGAAGTTTGATATCTAACTCCTCTTCCGTGGCAACACTCGTGTCGCTCCTCTTGTAGTATGCTTTCTACGACCATGCACTTGGCTCCGTAGTAGCTTTTGGACTTCTGCTCGCTCCGTACGTACAGTAACCTTGGCTTGACTCGTTGTGGTAGCTAGCTAGATAGCTTGGCCGTCACTCCTGCACTCCTGCATGCGTCGTGCACTGAGTCTTCTCTTGTAGTTGTCTTTCGTACCTGCACGTAGCAGTCGTATGATGGGTGTTTCCGCAGCACAAAGTCTGCTCACTCCTGTGAGCTGTTCTTCTTGCTTGCTCCTGCAAGCTTGTTCTTGCTCGTTCCGGAGCTCACTCCTGGGAGCTTGTGCTTGTTCCGGTAGCGCGCTACCGTACAGTAGCCTCTGCTCCGTACAGTAGCCTTGTTGACTCAATCAGCCATAACTCACTCAATTTCTAATGTATGGAGACGATTCAAACATGTAACTTGGTCAGTTCATTCTCGTCTGTCCACTGGTGTGCTTACTTTGGGCTGATTCGGTTATCTTCAGTAGGGCCGATCGCTCCGGTGTAGTCAAATGCAGCACGGTTTCGTGATGATGCCTTTTTCCTGCAAGTAGGCTGTTTGGACAGCCCTTATAGTGGGGCTCCAACACTATCTGCCTGTGCTGTTCAACTGTTTACCTTAGTATGTAGCTCATATAAGATTGACTTGATATCGATATCGCCATTGACTCGAACTCGAGATGATAAACTTCTTGGAAATAGTGTTGGTTGCTAGTAACACTCTAGCTTAGTAAAGGTAAAAATACTGTTTTACTGTTAAGCTATTTCCAAGAAGTGATCTTTCTCCACGTTTTCTGGGATTGATTCAACTTCAAAGGATATAGTGAAGGGGGTGACCATATAGATCAGTTAAACTCCCCATGTATGTAACTAGAGAATAGATGTAGATATCCCCTCTAAACTAGATTGGGATAAACGAATAATTTGTATTGAGGTGTCTGTAATACAACCTCCAACACAAATAATTGGGTGTTATGCAGGATTTGAGCACTCTGAGCCACACTGAGGCTCCTGGATCCTCCTGAGGTCACCTGATTGAGTAGATGCTCGTCTCATGGCCATCTGGGGTGATACAGTGGTCAAAACCTTCATATGGGACCATATGTGGCTTCCCTGGTTCCATATGTATGGCTTGTGTCTCACCAGTACCAACCAAGATTCTCTATCTTTGCTTGTTCCACATACCATGTGGGTACCAGTAACATAAGGCAGACAGTTTGTTCTCACACTCACCACGTTGATCCCATGGATCCAACCCACATTTTATCGATTGACGTTCGTGGAGCGAGTTGGATTCCCAACATTCGGACCAACCGCCCATGGTGCATGCCTGTTGGGATGGAAGTGGCTGATGGCCTTCTTGTACTGTTCAAGAGTGGAAGATCTCTTTTGGGTTGGACGATCATTGGGACCAGGATTGGTCTTCCCATAGGCAAGGAAGTTCATGAACCGGGCGACATCAGTGGGTGTAATGGCAAGGAGCTGGTCCTGAAGAACAAAAAATAAAGAAGAGCGACCATGGTGTGAGGGACGATGTTTGATCAGCGAAATGACAGGTTTGGCGAAATGACAGGTTTGGCGAAATGACAGGTTTGGCGAATGAGCGAACCAACGTACCTGTGTAAAGGTCCTCCTGCTACCATACGGTGTCTGCCGGCCATGCTTCCAAGACATAAACCTGGTGAGTGCCGGCCGGTATTGTTCGTCAAGGGACTTCCTCTTCCTCGCCATGGTCGCAAGTAGCAATGAGTAACAAAATAGCGATGAGTAACAAAATAGCGATAGCTTTCGCTCTTCGGAGGCAGAATCGAATTTATGAGGAAATTTGGAGAGGAATGATTGACTGATCGACTGATGGATACTCCTCCCAACGGTAGCACGGGATACAGCAGTTGAATCAGAGGGGATCTTTGGGCGTTTACCCTCTCTCAGTGCAAAGAGAGAGGTTCCGGGTCCTTAAGTCTTTGAGTTTCGCGGAACGTTTGCGTGTGACTGGGTTGTATTTTTGGCACGAGTGACAATGATACTTAGGGCAAAAGTTGTATTTTGGGGTTGCCGATGCAACTACCAATGCGATTCTGAGTAGTATCGGATACCCTCAAATGACTGGTTTTCCCCGGCAGAATACCCTCACCGAATGAATGGTATCACCAGTCCCCAATATACGATTACCAATACTTAGGCCTAAGTGGGGGTGAAATATGTACTAAGACTACTAGGTAAGTCCCACCAGCCCATACAACTCCCCTAAGACGGATACCCTCTATCATGTGACTACGGTTGTATATTAGTAATACGGTACAAGTAGTGTTGCAAAGTCGGGGGGAGCACTTCTAAGAAGTTTCAATCGCTGGCATAGGGGAGCTTGACGAGGAGAGAACCGGTCCCAGGTACAGAAACCGCTTCAATGCGGGTCCATGGATTTTGAGCAATTCCTTCAACTTCTCAGCACCAGCTTCCCTCATTTCGACCCCCACTGAAGCAGAAAACGGGAGAGATGCATATCAGGAGCTCAGACGAAGAGGTCACAATCTGAAAAGAGAGAGAAACGAAATAGCCAGTCTACTAGACAGTAGAGCTGGAAGGATACTAAGTAAATTAAAGAGAAATTGTGCGTTCAAGTTCACCCCTTTTCAACATGCACCCCCCGATCAACTACACTGTACCTGGTACGGCTGTACCAGTCTGGTACCACGTACCAGTAGGGCTCAGACTCCACGCGAGGTCATCCCTCACCGTGTCACACAATCAGCCAAAACAGCAGCAAATCGTCTTTCATGGCAAAATGGTGCAACACCGTTGACGATACTAGTATATCAGGAGATGCCTTTCCACCTTGTCTTTCTCTGGTGCTATGGTCTCGCCTTTTGTTTTGTAGGGGATTGGTGTGGCGTTCACGCTCAGTTGGTTTTGGAAAACAACGAGAAATCGTTCTTTCGAGGTGCAAATATCGATGTGTTGTCGGATGAGCAGCCCTTCCCCGAAACGAGAGAAGTTCCCTGGGCAAGCATGACAGTGCCGCTTCATTCACATTCAGGTACTCATCACCTCTTTGTATTTTTGGGGAGTCCAGATCCGCAAAGACAAACTCTGATATTGGACACAGGCAAGTACTACTCACACCAAGAAAAATTCCACTACTCCGGCATTTTCCGTTCTCATTTTCCGTCTCTTTTTCTTCTCGCTCCATTCGAATGAAACTTATTGGCAAATTTCAGGATCCCGCTACATGGCCTTTCCGTGTGATCCGTGGTGCAAACGATGCGGAAAACATCATTCCCGAACTTTCAACATTACCAAAAGTACCACTCTCCGAAAAAATGAAGCGCCAAACTGTATTTTTTCTGGCGACAATCCACAGCCCCGCAGTGTCAGGAAGAAGAAGAAGATGCAAGAGAAGGATCAATCATGTGTCTTTCATCAAAAGTATTTGGAAGGATCCAGTTGGACTGCCATGGAATTTGAGGATTTTCTGTGGCTGGGTACTTGGGATCAGCAAGAAACCATTGAGGAATACATGCCGTACCTCGCCATTCCCTTTACATTTGGCTGCCAAACGTCGGTGACAGGGGTCAGTTTGGATTATCTCACTCTCTTGCATTGTTCGTGCCGGTATGACTTGTTTCTTACCAAACTCGATTCTTTTTCACGAACAAATTAGCACTTTGCAAAGCAATACGCCAATGGGATTCTAGGCATGGCACGGTCTCTTGACGAAAACGCCTTTCTCAACGCAATGGTAAAATCCAATGCCATTGAACGTGCCGCCTTTGCTACTTGCCTGACGAGAATGGGAGGGACACTCTCTCTGGGGGGAAGTGGCCTGGCCCGCAACGACGGTGGCGCACGACAGTATCACTTGGAGCCCATGACATTCACCAACATTATTCAGGATCACGGTTTGTATTCCCTCAAAGTGAACAAAGTCTTGGTTGGCGACTTTTGTATCACGTGTGCTGAAGATGCCACAAATGACAAGGAAAGGATCGCTCGACGAGCCACATTGTTGGCCTTCCGAGCTGGCAAGGGCGTATTGTTGGATAGTGGCACTACCGATACCTTTCTACCAAAGCAAGCCCACAGAGGACTGGGCAAGGCATGGAGAGCTGCTACTGGCTTGAGCATGCAAGAAACTCGAGTATACACGTATGGGCAGTTTCGGAGCATGCCTGATATTAGAATGGTATTTCACCCAAACACGACAATCGTCATCCCACCGTCTTCCTACATGGATGGTGTGCCACGGGATCTCAATGCCACCACGCTAGAAGAGGAAGTCAAACGATGGGCGGGATCTCGCAAGCTAACCATGCGAGTCTATTGCGAAGAGCCCAAAGGAGCAGTCCTGGGTGCCAATGCGATGTACCATTACGATGTGCTCTATGACTTGCAGGACAAACGAATAGGATTGGCTCGGTCCTTTTGTGGTAATCAATAACAAGATGACGTGGTTACGGAACTACTAATGACAACCTACCCCCACAATGCAGCAGCCGAACAGCTGCTGTTCTGCTTCCACTCAGGAAAATAGTCCATCTTCGTTCCTGTTAGCATGCCTCTTAGTAGTAGCATGATTAGTTTGCAAACACAACTAACTTAGTGGAAGAAAGGCTCACCCTGTTTTCCCGCGGCCGCCCCTGCTAGTCGCTCGCTTGTGAAGTGTCGAAGGAAGATTGAATTTCCCAACTAGCTAATTTTCAGGTGGTCCATCCGGCAACGACACAATAAGCCCCGCATTGCTGCTGCTAGCTTCGGTGCTTCCATGCCCGGAAACATCGCCTCCCTCGACATCTTGTTGGTCTGTGTCATCTGGAAGACTGGTGGTATCCTCTTCTTCACTTGTCGCTGTGGTTGTCTTGATAGGAGTAGCAAGGCCGCCTCGGTTGCACAGTGGACAATGATTCTTCCTCTTGAGCCAATCTTTGAGACACTCTACGCAATAGAGGTGTCCACAAGGTATATCACAAACTCGATCTCCAATGTGGAGGGGGCATAGACAAATCGCGCAATTGACAGCATTGTCCACAGTTTCTCCGCCGTCAAGGTTCAATGACAATGCGCTACTCAAGAATTGGGATGCTTCAGCAAGGGACAAGGTCACAGATTGAGATTCGTCCGCCTCTATGTCGTCTTCCGATGCATCGCCACGGTTTGAGTCGGTGTTTGCACTTGTCGTTCTTTCTGATCCCATGTACTTTTTGACTTTTAGTTCCATTCTTTGCTGCCATTCTGAAGGCTCAGTGTCATTGTTGTCATTATCATTAGTTCTTCTGCCAGCGTCTTGCTCTGCTCTCTGGTTTCTGCCGTTCCACCATGTCATAAAGTTGCTCCGTGCTCTCTGCCGGTTTTGCTGTCTCAGAAAGGCACTCCGTAGCACCCACGTGGCTCTTTCTGGATCCCTCTGTATCATGCTTTCGATGTGCCTTCGAAGCAGGTCACGTTCGTTGGAATGGCCCAGGATTCGATAGCAAAGCTTGCGCATGATAAAGGCTCGAGCGGCATTGCCCTGATCCGAGCAAAAGAAGGCGTAGACCAGTGCAACAAACCAGAAAACGCAGATGAAAAAGAAGCCTCGAACAAATGATCCTCCTTCCAATTCGTTGAAACAGATAACGGGCCCGTGGGCACCTTCCACTCTGCAAGCATTAAAGTCCAGGGGACAATAGGCATCATTTCGGTTGAAATAGTGTGCGCACCAGCAGATTTTCACGGGGACTATTGGATTATCATTGATGTAGTCATCGTCGAATGGACCTCCTATAAAGTCGTAAATCGGACTCACTTCAACGTAGGAATCTGTGAAAGAGCTGTACTGAACATTGCGTGTCCTGCTCTCCACTGCATCCAATCGACATTGAACAAAGTCCAGCATGGCGGTACCCTCGGAAGGATCCTCGTACGGCTGAGCCACGATACTCCCTGGACTGAGGAAGAGCGTGGATGCATACAAACAGGTAACGAGCCTTCGCGCATTCATGGTCGGTCAATGCTTCAGAAAAAACTGCGCCTTCGGAGCCTACCTGCATGCATGTCCATCATGCAACAAGGCATCGATCAGCATCCGTGCATCCATCAACTCAACGACAACGTGAAGCAGCCGTTGGCTTCATCTTTTGGGAGACCATTCTTGTTGATGCATTGTTGTCCTAAATCCCTGTGACACCTTTATTTAGACGACACAAATTTTTGGTAATTAACAGCAAGCCAGCTAAGATGGCCGACACAGCAGCTCAACTCCCTCCATCCTCCAATCCTTCATTCTCCATTCATGCGAAATGATGGGCAAACCCTGTGCACCCACAAAGCATAATAGTACGGCTGTATCTAGCTAGGTCATCGCTAGCTAGTATTAATAGGTTACATGTAGGTAATAGTGTTTACAATGTACTTTTGCATCTTATTTCTCGCAGATCGTTTCATTCATTCATTCATTCACCAGTTACCACCAACCCGGGTCGATGCAGATCTATCGGATGTATGGTACTATCATCATGATTATTGCTCTCTCTGCTATGTCGTCGAGGCGTGGCAATATTCTCTGCCAAACAGAGAGGACATACATTCCGCCTCACAATCCACGTCTTGAGGCATTCGATATGCATGACGTGATTGCAGGGTAGATCCCCCACTCGGTCTCCGTCTTCCATTTCCGTGTGGCAAATGGCGCACGTAATGAGTGGGTTTTCCTCTTCGTCGTCGTATACATTTCTTTCATGATGATGGTCGTGTTTGTGGTTGACGTCTTTCGCTGGCTCTGCTGTTGTCTTCAAGTTGGATACTGACTTGACTTCTGACTCAGTTTGGCATGATGATGGCGGTATTGTTTCTGCGACAAAAGTGCAATCATTATTTGGTGAGCCAGCAGCAGCAGCAGCAGCATCGTGATTGGGTGTGGCCAACGTCCGGTGGTGGTGGTTGTTGTTGTGGTAATGAAACGTCTTGGTCCGTAACAAGACTTCTTCTCGTGCACCACTTTCGTTTGCCGGTGTTATTTCAAAGGTGACTTCAAAGCCCGCATAACTAATTCTTTGCTGTTGTTGTTGTGTATTGTTGTTGTTGTTATCGTTGTTGTTATTGTTGTTTTCGACCGTGTCTTGAATTTGTCGTCGAATGACAATTCGATTGGTGAGACCGGGATGATCCCTCATGATGCGGTTGGTAGCATGGATGTTCCACTGTGGAAAGATGCAGGAGACACAGCATCCCATGGCATGTCGTCCGGACCGAGTCAACAAGAGGCACAAAACAACGGCGAGGTACCTTTAGAGAGAACAAAGTGAGACGAAATGAATCCAACAAAACATTCCTCTTTGTATTTGTATTCATTTGTAGTTACGCACCATACAGTCACGACGGGCCATACATTTCGCGCAAAGCTTTCGGGTCGGGTGATATCGACACACCCCGGATCGCGAAAGTAAAAGGTCGTGGTAGTTCGGGACGTGTGAGCATCTTGGACCGACGCCCAGCCACTTCCCAATCCACAATGCGTGCGAGGGAGAGGACAGTAGAAATCTTTTTGTCGCGATCCTCCTTGGGCGGGGGATTTCCAACAGGGACACCGTCGCGCACGGACAATACTGGGTTGGTCGTTGTTGTTGATGTTCTGATTGTTGCCACCAACAACTCGATCATCATCACTGGACTCGTTGTTGTTGTAGAACCAGCTGGAGTTGTCTAGATGTTGTAGATCTCGATTCTGTTCTTCCTGAATAGAGACGGACAGGGCCGTCTGATGATTGTGGTAATCGAAGGATGAATGAGAATCATCCCCATATTCTTCTTCCTGGGAGGAAGAACCGCGGAGCCACTCCTTGCCGTCACTGCTACCCAAAGATGGATCTTCTGGAGATAACTCATCTGGTAATACTAGTAGTGAATCTTCTTGTTGCAACAATTTCCTGTCATGGACCGGTTGGTAGGACTGTTTGCTGGGGTTCCATTGTAGTTCCACAATGGGTTCGTACCGGAGGTCACAATACCATCGAAATTCGCCATGCACTCTACATACTTGAAGCACAAGCACGCTCAGAAGAAAGCAACGGTCAAAGACGGGCATCTTGCTTGATCAGCTACTAGCTAATAAGATCCAGATCGAGAAAGTGATAATGTACAGCCACTGATGGTAAAGCTTCTGGCGTGGGAAGGCGACAGTCGTCCAGATCTTCGGCGACCAACAAACTTGAAGGAACGAACCGGATGTCACGATGGCGGGTCACTCAATTGTTGCTTGGATGGAGTGTCACACTGCCATTATTTTGGCCATTTTGGCCGTCAGAGCTGTTTGGCACCCAAGGGCAATTCTCTCTTTACACGAATCAGACTTCAAGAAAGGATGAAATGATGAATGGAGGCAGCCGCATGGTGTCAACAGAGTGATAGTCAGTGTTTGAAGCCCTTCCTTTGGATTTGCATTCCTAATTCAACCAATAGATTGATAGACTGACAGTTGCGTTCGGAATCCATTCTTCAAGCCCACATCGCATTGCTAATATTACATCGCCAAATACCAGTACAACAACACAGCCTTCACGATACCATGAGCAAGCAAATGACATGTTCCTTCTTCCCAGCTCACTGCTCCCACATCTTTCCCTTTGTCCCACGAACTTTTGACTTGATCTTTCCCGAGGATGTTGCCCAGGCTTGTCCCGAGCAGGTCATCACGCTGGGCTCCAACAACCAGAATATCCGAAGACCCGTTCTGGCACTCTTTGCACTGCTGGGTATTGTTACTGGCATTGTGGGAGGATTGCGCTTTCTCCAACAAAGCCTTCAACACAAGACAACCTCTGTCATTAGTATTCTGCAAAAACCGACCATCTATTGGTCCGTCGCGTTCTTGTCGTTTGGAACCATGAACTTGAGTGGATTGTTTCTGCATTGTTTGACGGATCCCACCATTAGCAGTCCCATCGAACGACCGCTTTTGTGGATTGGAGATACGTGCAGCACGGGGGTGTTTGGCGTTGCCCTTTGGGCGGCTGCATTGATGGAAGCATTCCCAGCGGCCTGGCAATTACTCCAAGGGAAGACAAAGCTGTGGGGCAGTAACAACCACAGCAGACTCGAGGCCATGGCACAAACTGCTGCCAAATTGCTCATTCCGTGTGCTTGGGCACTTATCAATCTGGTCGGAGTGGGAACCGTACTCTACTTTTTGTGGTTCCGCAACCAGCCTGCTGATGATCATATAATGACAAGAATGATCCCCGCATCCTTACCATTGGAAATGTGGTATGCGATACCAGCTACATCCTTGGCATCCCATGCATTGGTTCTCATGCTCCTGTGTTGCCGACCCTTTTCCAAGGGATTGCTCCTGACATATATCAGCAGTTATGTCACCTTTTTGGTCGCATTGGGCGATCCCTGGTTGTGCCGTCAGTTTGGAAACTCCATGAGTGATCTATTCACCACTGCCACGCTCTTTTTTGCATCTACGGATGTGTTGTTTCTGGGAATTTGGGTCTGGTTGGAAGACTATCGCAAAATGCAACAACAACAACAGCAGCAACAACAACACAAAGAAAAGCATGCTTGAGCAGCTAAACAAACACAACTGGTTCGTTGGAGAAATAAAATGACACATCACACTTTTCCCAGAGAAGCACCTCGAATGATACCGTCGGATGCAACAAAAGGGTGCCAGGCTAAGACGCGGTACCTGGTACCGGTATCTGGGCATTCGGTGGGCGCAAGGCACCGTTCCGGCTACTAGAAAGAATTTTATGGTGCCGGAGATCATCTATCTGATGATGCAACTAGAACCTATCTTGAACTAGCTAGCTCATCTGTACAAAAACAATGTAGTTGCCAACTTTAGCTACTGTATTTGATACTAAGTTAGTCAATGTACAGTTTCTTGTGCTTGTAGGCTGGAACCTTTTCCTTGTATGTGTTGAAGAGTCGCTTGACTTCCTCGCAGTATTTCGCGTGCCACTTGTCTACATCCTCATCTGTAGGGTCAGGAATGTGTGGAAGTCCCATTGGTTTGGCTCGGGCATACAGGCACTAGAGGAGCAGCAGAAAAAAAAGTACAAGGCACAAGTTGGTCCTGCAGTCACTCAACAAGAAGCAGACTCAAAAGGGATGATTGCGTACAGTATACATACCTTTTCATCTCTAGGGATTGGCAAATAGTACTTGCCCCACATGTACGTGAGACTCACTTGCAGTTTTCGGGACAAGTCTGCCAAAGGACCATGCTTGAGCACGCTCAGAACAGAAGTGTTGCCAAAGAGATAGGCCGGAATCACGTCCACACCTTCCTTCAATGCCAGTTTGATGAACCCCTTTCGTTGACTCAGGAAGAGTCGTTCTTCGACGGGACTACTCTTGAAGAGTTCGGCAATGCCACCCACGTACAGGACGAGACAGCCATCGATGCCTTTGTTTTGAAAGTGACGTTGCATCGACTTTCGAGAGGCATCGACCAATCCAAAGATGCCCATGACATTCTTCAGAATGGGAGTCTGGTGCACGACCGAGGCGGTGGCCGTCTTGATTTGCCCAATATCTGGGTCACAAACGGCGAGAGAACAAATTCCACAGAAAGAAAGCTAAAGAGCATTACACACACAAAAGCCGGTGAGATCCTCCAGCAAAATCACGCCACCCTGACAACGAAGGGTATACTTACCACACCATGTGGCTGCGATGCAAGAATGAAACGTTTATCCGTGGTTTTGAGCATTTCTCGGATATCAGCATCGGTGAATTCAAATGCTGTTTCAAAGTCAAAGTAGTCTGCCATGGGCTTTAGGAATCGACAATCGAGTTTCTTGGGTTTGGAGAGAATGGACAAGATAAGAGGAGCAGCAATGACAAAGGACCCTTCCATGGTGGGATATCGAAACAATAGACAGAGGATGGAAGTGATGATGTAGATGGGTGCAAAAAAGTAGACACAGCAAAATGTTGTCGCCATGGCCATGCCCAGTAGCCAACGGGCCGTGGAGATTTCATTGCTTCTACATGTTGTAGTGTTGATGCTGGTTTTGGTGATCTTCCTTGTTGTGGTTTGTGGTTTCTCCACAACTACAGATGTTTCAGATCTCGACATGCTGAATCGAATCAATCGCAAGGTACCGGTAGATAAGAGAATGGACGAGGTATAAGTTTTTAAAAAGGAAGATTGTGAGAACAAGGACTTGAGCGAAAGGTCGAAGATTGTGAGAATGCAAAACGATGAATGCCGATGGAAACAATGCATGTTCGTCACCTGACTTTGCTTGTGGGACCGCGCCGCTTTTACATTACTGCCGATGTTGCCGGTGCTGCCGGTACCGGTAGAGTCGTGCCAGACTGCATGCCTGCTGTAACGAACATGTGTGATTCGAATCGATTTTTGATTCGACAATGGTCACCAGTCAAGAGATCCAGCAGTTAGGTGGGGTCAACCAGAAGAGAGCTGAAGTAGAATGGGCAGTGTCAGATCTTCAGCGGGACAAGGAGGATCGGGATGCCGAGGCCTCAGGCAAAATGTTCAAGCCAGCAGCACTCGCTGGGGCACTCTTCTTTTCCGTGCGATCTCACCAAAACCCAACAACAATCCAAGAAGATCCTTCATGGGACACACTGAAACAAGCACAAGATGCCATTGGATGGCATCATCTGTTAAAGGGGAGAATCTCTAAACAATTCAGTCAGGAACAAGACCGATATTTGAACATGAAAAAGACCGCAACCAAACGCAACAATGGACTCACATGGCTCACTGGACTCATTGACATTATCTATAAAGAATGGTGGAAACTCTGGGACATGCGCAACCAAGACAGACATGGGCACGACATGAGAACCAAGTCACAAGCAAAGAAAGCACAAGCAATCCGACAACTCACTCAGTTCTACGAAGCATACCAGCAAGAAGTCCCCGAACATTTGGAATGGCTATTCCAGATACCACTCGAATCGCGCATGCAACTGAATACACCAGTCATCATTCAATTTTTGAACACATGGGAACCTGTGTTACAAGAGAGTCACTACACCACAGCCCTGGAAACAGGATAGTCGGACATTCCTACCATCCCTTTTTCCTTACCCCTCCTACCCCCTCAAACTTCTTTACCAACCCCAACTCTCTTCAACAAAGAGCTCATGGCTCCGACCTCAGTGTACAAATCCTTAGATAGCTAACAGGCGTCGCACCCTCTCAGGAGGCCAGTGTGGCCGGTGAGCAGACTTGACTGTGGGAAATACCCGAGCCTTAGCTCGTGGGTAGTCCTCAAGCACATCTCGTCTGAATCCGTTATTAGACGTTCAGTTTTTTTCTTTTCCGTGCGATCTGTTCTAGACTTTTTGGTAGCAAGAAGCATGAGATTCAATCCACAGGCGATACTTTTCCATTATGCTATTGATTGTCATTGCTTCCTCCAAGGTGGGGGTTGTTAGGTAGCCGCAACTTCTTCTGTATCACCATCTCTTCCTGAATTACTAACAGGCCCAAAGGTTTCTAGAGACTGTGTTGGAATAAGTAGCAAAAGTAAAAGGACTAACAAAAGAAAAGAAGTAGTAGGTTGTGCCACAACCCATTTGCTTTTCTATTGTGCTAAGGGATTGTCATTGGTCCTCACTTTGCAAACACAGTTGTGAATTATAGTTCTGGCTAATCTGGCAGCCAAATATCTAGCTAGCTAGCTAGCTAGCATCTGTGCAGAACAAGGAAGCAAAGTCGCCATGGACAACAGCCAGTACCACATTACAGCAAAACCATTGGCAGCAACAGAGGCATCCATGGAAAAAGCAACCAACACTTGGTTACACTAAGTCTTGCCGATGACAGCTCTTGAAGGTTGCATCCTATTGTATTGTTGACTTACTAAATTGAAACTTTGGTGTCTTCATCAGCTAAATAAATAGCTTCTGCTTTGATAGCTCAGTTGGGAGAGCGTCAGACTGAAGATCTGAAGGTCCTGTGTTCGATTCACAGTCAAAGCATTTTGCCTTCTTTTGGCTTCGGTGGGTTTTGGGTGGAAGGGACGAATTTGAGCCATTTGGTTGTTCTTTCCACTGTTTTGGGGGGAGATTTCTATCACAATTGCAATCATTGTAGAACAAGTATTCTTGCTAAAAGAAAGGGGTAAGTGTTGTCAAAGGGCAGGGATGAAGATTGAGACTTGATTGGGCTTTGGGGTACACAGGAAGATCAGAAGAAACAGCCAGCCTTGCAGTGCTCCTTTTCTTCCAGTGTTCTGTGGTCTGATTCTTTGGATTTTCAGAGCCCATGGGAAAAGCTTGAAGGCAGCTAGTTGGATGTGGTACTGACACTTGTATCATCAAGGCTTGTTGGGAGACTACAGTCGTATCATGTTCTCTTGGTCAAGAAGGGGGATGGCAAGCCGCCTTGAGTGCGACGAAAGGCTTGAAGCGTTGGGAGTTAATGACTCCGTCCGTGAATGGTCAGTCACGATCGCATCATCGCATCCCACCAAGCGTTTCGCACCCCGCTACCCGCAACCCTCACCAACAAACGACTGTTGCCTTGAATGATCTTCCGAGTTGCCCTGTTGTCTCCACGGTATCTAAAGTTACAATAGGCCCTGAATCTACAACAGGAGCGGCAGAGTGACGATCCCAGTCGCTACTACTAGTGGAATAAGGCGCAACGACATCGCGAGGTCAGCGGACGATTCATTCATTCCTTCGTGGTACTGTACCAAACGAAAACCGGACATTTCGCTGGCGGACCAGGAGTCCAATTGCAAGCCTTCCACTGCTGCAGTTCTGTGGTTGACCCTGCCTTTTGTGACTTGTGAAGCCACCCATCTGCCTTGGCGTCGCAAATTATATTTTTGATTTGTCTGAGCCATCCAAATTAAATCAATCGAATTGATGGAAAGCTAGCTTGCTGGACCAGCAGGAGTCGAATCGGAACGGGCTTGTGTTTGGATATAGCCACACAGAAACTCACTCTCAAGACGACAACGACAACAGCAACAACAAAACAACAACAAGATGTCTTCCAAGGAGAAAAAGGGAGGCCTCTTTCGGAAAATCAAAGGCAAGAAGGAAGAAGGAGGTGCCAAAAAGGCGGATGGTGTAAAGAAAACCAAAAAGGCCGAAGATAGCAGCAGCGACCTCAGTGTATCAGATGATAGCAAGAGTAAGCGGGGTCGAGAAGGAAAGGGAGAGGATCAGCCGCCTGTGTCCCCTGCCAAGGGAGGAAAGAAAAAGGGCGATGACGGTGGTCGAGGAAGAGAAGGAAAGGAGGGAAAGGAAGGAAAGAGCATGTTTCAACGGGTCCGAGAGCGATCCAGATCTAGGTCCAGAAGTAGAAAAGAAAAGGATGGACTCTCGGATTCCACGAGGAAAGATATGCTTGTGGCTGTCACGTCGTGCCGAAGTGATGGGTACTACAATCAAAAAGCTCCTGGAACCATCTCCAAGTTGCCCAGAAAAGCTCCCACAAATCTGAAACTCTTTCATGAACTGGCAGTGGGTGTCAAGGATGCCTACGCAGCCGTGGGAGAGACACCCCAAAAACCAGAGGAAAACAATGGAGAGATGAGTAGGGAGGAACACGATGCAAGGATGGCGCTCTGGGAGTTCATTGGGAACCTAGATTTCGTGAGTTCACGTACCATTGGAACTATTCTCAGCTGTACTTTTCCTCCCATACGTTAGTTGGTGTATTTATTTGCTCCGTCTTGCTCGCTCATATTGATGTTTGTTCCTGTATAACAGTTGCTAGCACTTGTGGATGAAGTGGCGGTGGATACGGTGACTCGAGGGGCTCTGAAAGATGATGCAACCTTCAAGGGCCTGCGTGATGTCATCAAGAAGTGTAACCGAGTGTTGGAGGATATGCTCGTTCGCAGAGAACGTAAATACACACTCTTCTTTCGGTTGGTGCAGCCACATGATTCATCGGATATTGGTAGGATGAAGGCATGGAATGACAAGGTGGAAAAGGCAGTTGGCTCTGTTACGGGAGGCCGAGCTGCGTTTGAAACGGGAACAGATGATTCCGAGAGCGACACAGACAGCACGGCATCAGGTTCGTCCGATGCATCTGGAAGAAGTGGAGGTCTCATCAGTCGTGGACGTCAGCTGCTGCCCACTGCTGGAAAGGTTAGATCTCGTCGTGCGACACCAACACCCAAGATGCGAAGGAGGCGAGGCCAAGGTGATGATTCGGAGGGTGATGCATCTGGATCCGCCGAGGATGGATATTCAGCCGTGACTGCGCCGCTGGCACCGAAACAAGCACAAGGATCAGTGGCGTTGCCCAACGGTTTGGCTCTCAAGGGAAACTCATCCCAGCGTCTTGCGGACGTCAATCCAATGGCACCCAAGGATGAACTTGTGGATGTTATCCGAGGTTTACGGGTTGAGAAATCGCAGGGCCATGACGGTTCCATACAAAGGTACGTTTTAATTGAATCGCACAACACTCTTTCACGCGATGAAGGACTTGCTGACATTCTTATTTTGCTGAACACAGCAATCTACAGGACTTGAAACCCAACTGGCTGCCAAAGGCGGACATTCCGTCCTCGGTTCCAAAACTGCCAACAGAGTATGTACATCGACATCGCTTAATGAAGCAAGTTGTCAGTTGTCTACTGGATCAGAGTGGCGCTGGCCCGCGTGACACGGATGAGGAAGTCATGGTAAGTGGAATGGTGGATGATTCAATCAACCAAGTGGGAGCTTTTGCTTTGTCCTTTGCTAAAAAACGTGCCTCGGTTCCCAACGCAGAATAACACGATCATCACGTCTGTGACATCACGTCATAGCGACAAAGCCGGAAACGGAAAGACGACTCTGGCCGTTGCTGCTATCCAAACTGTCGAAGTCCGTGAACGTTTTGCTGATGGTATTGCGTGGCTCAAGCTCGGTGCTGGCCCTCTCAGCGACAAGGACATCCGACGGCTGTATGGAGAACTCTACAAGCAGCTCATTGTGAAAAGCGATACGGACGATGACGATTTCTCAGATGACAACAGCGACAGTAACTCCTCGCGAGAGGACGGCTTGGGTGGCGGCGGCGGCGGTGGTAATGGGGAGCGATTGTCTTGGGACGAGGCACGGAGAGATCACCTTGTCGAACGTGCCGATACAATGAGACGCTTCCAAGGAGGTGACCTCGAAGGTATCAAGGAAGATCTTGGGAGAATGCTGGTGAGGCGGAAAGTATTAATCTGCCTCGATGACGTTGCACGTATCGAAGACGCTAGATGGTTCATCTTCGACATTCCAACAATTGCGCAGCCACAGCGAGGTTCCAGGGACAAAGACGAAGATCGCAATCCATACCGCATATTGATGACAACGAGAACTCCTTCGTTAATGGGGGCTGGAATTGTTCAGGAAGTTTTTGTACGTATCCTTTCTGAACACGAAGCTGTCAAACTTCTTCTGTCAACAGCTGGGCGACGTCCTTATGGCGGTAGAAACTCAAAGGTTTTCAACCAGGCAAGGATGATTGTGAAAGGCTGCGGTAATTCCCCTTTGGCTATCCGTCTCGTGGGAAGTATGCTCCGGTTGGGAAATCGGAACTGGAATCTCAAGTCTCCTATTTGGATGTCTCTTATCAATCAATGCACACTGAACTTGGAGGAAGCGTCGATTCTTCGAAGCTTTGTGAATGCCTTCACTAGGATCGTCGATCTTAGTTTCTTTACTGTGAATGACATCAAGCTTCGTATCGCGCTGAGAAGATGCTTCGTCTGGTTTGCGATGGCTTTTCGCGACAACGACTGGATGCTGGCTGGCAAAGGCATCCCTCAGTCGGTTGTGTTGAGTGTGTTCGAGACTGTGGTCAACCTTGACGAGAGCGAGACAGAGGATAACTGGATCGAACCAGAAACGATTCTTTCAATGCTTGAGAAAATGAATTTGCTGCAGCGTGCGGGCCACGGCGTTACCGCCAAGACTACGAAGAAAGACGACGAAAAATCAGTTGGATCGAAAGATCTCGACGCCTCCGCAAAATCAGATGGCTCGGACTGGTCCGACATGGATGAAGGTTCCAAGGCAAGAATCCAGCATAACTTTGTCATCTTGGACTCTGTAAGTATTCGCGACGGTCTAGCCTTGTGTTGCCCCTCGTTCTGCGACCTCATCATCACTTCCTCCCTTCCTCCCTCCCTTTCTTGCTTACAGCTGAAAGCTGTAGCAGAAAAGATGGCTTGTCGCCAGTCCTTTTCTTTTTACCCAAAGGATGACCAATTTACTTTCTTCTCGGATAAAATCGAAGAGGAAATCAAATCAACAAAGAACAAAGAGACACCCGATTGGGGCGCCAAGTTGAACTTCCTCTCCAAAGCACCCAACGTTGAAATTATTGAAGAAAAGGATGGCGAGGACCCAGTAGCGGAGGAGGTTGCGCATGAGCTCGTCATCGTCTCGCTGTTAGCAGCTGGTGACCGTGATGCCCTCGACCAAGACAACGTTGTTGAAGCGATGAAGACAAGCCAAGTGGCTGTGCAGGAGCTTGTTGGCGGGGTGAAACTGGAAGAGTACACGATGTCGTTCCTGCCTGATCATCTTATGCGTTCAAGAGCCTTTTCAAACGCTGCGGAATTATTGGCATGCCATCCCTTTGTTCGTCGAAGAGTATTTGCGTTGGGAATCATGGAGGCGACAAGCAAAGAGGTTGCTGATATCTTGGAGCTTCGCCGTGTCGTCGGCAAATACGTGGCTGCCACGGACAGCCGAAGAGGGCATGCTCTAGGAAAGCAAGCGGCCGGGAAAAAAGTGAATGAAGTGGACGCCGAATCAGCAATCAACTTTGACATCGATGCTGTGGCGTGTGATGGTTCTCGGTTATTGATCGATGAAATCTATCGTGTGACGAACAGCATGGGTTCATCCGATTCCTTGGGAATGGCAACATGCCTTGCTGCGGTCGGTGAAGGTTTGCTGAAATGCCGTCAGCCACGCGACGCTATGCTTCGTTTGGAGGAGGCGGTGAGTTTGTATCGCGGCATATTGGGACCATTCCACGTCTATGTGGCCCATGCTTTGCATCAGGTAGCAAAGGCTCTCGTCAAGCTTGGCGAAACTCGTGTCGCCCTGTTGAAATTCGCTGAGGCTGCCAGAATCTATGAAGCGTGCAATGCAACGCTGCATTACGACTCCATTCAAAATGCACAGAGTTTGGCGTCGCTCCTGGTAGACATCGGCGATATGGACAAGGCCGAGTCCATGTTCGAAGAAGTCATTGCAATGAAGATGTCAGTCTACGGCGAGCACAGTGTCCCTGTGGCGAAAACAATCAACAGCTATGCGATTCTTCTTGCAAAGCACGGTCGAATGAATCAAGCAATGGGCAACTATGAGGCTGCAAGAGCAACGTACGAACGTGCACCACCTCCGCTGATTTACGACGCAGAATTCGAGATCAAATGCAGCTACGATGTGACGCTGATTACTCTTAACATCGCATCAATCTGGTCTAAGAAAGGCGACCTCCAGCGTGCATTAGGATGTTACGAAGAAGGTGTCGTCGGCCTTCGGAAGTACGATGAAGCCATGCTGGATCTTCACGAAGGGAAAGACTCTCCCGACTCTGGGAAGAGCTCTTCGCACAAGCACATGGTTGCTGCATTGGGTAGAATTGGATCGATCAAGTTGAAGTTGGGAGACGAGGATGGCGCCTTGGATGCTTACTTGCATCTTTTGGAAGAAGTTTCGGAGGATAGCCCTCTGCCTTCTCATACAGAGAAAGCCAAGGCCCATATCAAATGCGCCACTATTTTCCGGCAAAAGGATGATTCAGACTCCAGAGCCAAGTCCGTGGAGCACTTGCGAGAGGCATTCCGTATGTACAAAGCCATTTTTGGTCCCGGCCACAAAGACACCGTTGCAATCAAGACGTCGTTGGATCAATGGTTGGCCGAGGAGAAGAAGCGGTAGCTCTGTTGGAATGTTGCATGCTAAATTTTATGTTTCTAAGAATTCTTGTCATCGTAGCTCACCACTGGTACGGGAAAGGTTGAGCGCAAAGTAGTTTTGTTTGGCCATGAACATTGAAAAGAGACCCCGCAGCCCACTGCAATGTACCGGTACATGGCCTCCGTACATGGCTTCCATTGCCTCCATTACCTTCTCATCCCGAGAACTTTGCCGGATTGCAACAGGGCTTGGCCTGTGTGATGCATCATTTCTTTGGGACAATATCCTTTCATGAGACCTCAGCATTTTAGTGAGAGAGAGCGTTTTGGAACGTGTTTTTTCCTCCAAGAAATGCAAGGAACAGTTCTCGGATCCGCAGATTCTGAAGGCTGATTTGCCCCTCAGCTGTCCTCCTCTGTGCCAAACTGATGATTGTTCGATGTTCATTCATGGCCGCTTGATGGACGTCGGGAATGCAAAGGCAGCCTTGAACCGTTGGGAGGACTTGGCTCCATTTGTGTTTTCAGCTTGCCGAGGTCTTTCGTCCAGCTTATACAAAATCTGGTTTTTTTGGCCCAGAATGCCAACGTTATTAGTTGCATTATCAGGTCGCACTTTTCAGGTTCTCCCTTTCTGCCACCGAACTCCTGTCTAGCAGTTCATGCCGCAAGGACAAGTGGTACTCTGTTTCCGATTCAATGAAGTGGAATATGGCTTGTCGCAACCAAGGGTTGCAAACATAATGTACTGAATGTATCACTTGTGGGTCGAACCCTCGTGCCCATTTGTAATCTATGGTTCAGCAACGCAACTCAACTGGGTAAGAATCACAACAACAGCTGTTGTACATGTATGTAGCTAAAACTTACCACCCCCACCCGCTCCAGGCTCCATGCGGAGGAGACAATTCTGAATGCAGTATTCGATAGCCGCCCAATAGCAGGTTTCAAAGTGCAAGTTTTTGATATCATGACCTGGCAAACAACCCCAGTATCTTCCATAAAAGACGCCATCCTTCACAACGTTGAAGGTTCCGGCAAAGACGTCTTTTGCGTCCCATGAAACTGTGCCAGTACTTCCATTAACGTCATCATCATACCTTGCGCACAAAAAGCACAGGTTGTGTATGAAGGATGATTGGCACAACCTTTGGAAGAATTCCAGTGTCAAGTATTGTCGTCCCCAGTAGAGTTTGTCGACGGTGGACCGATAGATTTCAAACATTTGCTCCACCAATCCTTCCACCTGCAGAATGTCGGCTCCTACAATGGCATCAATTCGGATGGGTCTGCAATTGCTGTCGTCATCATCTTGACGAGGATACAGTTGCTGCCCTTGCCTTGCTAGTGTTCGTTCTCTCCGAATATTGATACGCCGTTTGCTTCTGAAGCAACTCAGATAGTCTTCAAAGTCTGTAAAGGGCCGTCCGCTCTGTAAGGGGTGGCGGTTTTGCCAGTGATACTGCAGTGAAGTCCGTCGCAGAAACGTATCGGTGTTGTTGCGTCTGAGATGTCGCAGAAGCAGAGCTTGCAACCGCTGACGAATCCTGTCAGTGTCATCATTGTCAATCTCGTTCCTATTGTTGTTGCTTATTGCGGAGTCTGGTTCGTCAGGATATAGTTCACACTCCTGCCCCTCGTAGCTGGACAAGACAGTTGCTTCTTGATCTGTACAAAAGTTGATGTGTACAGTAGACCAATTGTGTCCCAGCGCCGTTTGTTTCAAGAAGCTGCCCACAGCACCATCGAGGTATTCCAATGGAAATGTTTCCAGTACTCTGGAATGCCACAATATGCGAGGCCCCGATACAGGCGTAAAAGGCACACCGACAAGCAATTTGGGGAAGTATTCGATCCCATTGCGATAGGCTGCTTCAGCCCAAGAACTGTCAAAAATGAACTCTCCCATGGAATGTGTTTTGAGATATACTGGAACGCACCCGTCAATTGTGGTTGATGTTGCAGTCTCGTTGTTGCCTGTCAAAACGTCCTCCTCCTCTCCAACAATTCGGATGGAGAGGTGCCGAGGAATCCATCCCGTTTCCGCCGAGGCGCAGCCTGATTCTTCCAGACTGTGGAGCCAAGCGTGTTCCAAAAACGGACTCTTGCTGCTATGATTGCCACTTCTCGCCAAACAACAAGCATCCCACTGACTGGCAGGGATGTCGCCAATGGAATCATGCCATGTCAATTCCATGGTCCCTCCACAAAAAGAAACACTTCTGCCGACATCCTTGTCGTCTCTTGCCTCGTCACTCTGGTCAGAGGTGGCAGATAGGTCTCGTGGTGGAGAGCGTCTCGCATGTGGTGGTGGAACAAGAAAGGATTCCACTGCCACAGCCACAAACCCAGCAATCAGTAGTAGGAACCATCTTGGCTTGGAAGGCATCGGTCGACGCTTCTGCCCTCAGAGACTTACAGTACTTGCGCCAACAGAATAACCGAATGATTCGATTCGATTCAATCAATCAATTCTGGTTGTACATGTACTTCAAGGTCTTAAAAATGTCATGTTGTCCGTAGCAACGGGATACCAAATCGATTCAACTACCTGTTTCAAACTATCCTACAACAGCACTGTGTTTGTCTCTTTCTTGCGGCTGGTTGCTTTGTGGGTGCTGTGCGATGAGCGATGATAAATAAATAAATAAATAAATAAATAACTATAAAGGGGATTACGTGAAAGGAACGGTACTAGGTAACCTCCGCTTGTAAAAAGTAGGGGAAGGGATCAAGGGGTTCTGGGCGTGAAGTAGGCATATATGGATGATCGAGCTGTCGCTGCCATCAGCTCGATCTTTTCCCTCAACAAAGCACACGCCAACCTCACCGATAAGATACTGTAACTCTCCTAGCGATAGGTTTGGGGTTGCCTCTCCTCCGAACCTGCATTGAGCATTGCCAAAGAAAATTCAAGTGCCAATAACGCCTGTGATCATTGCGGCTAGCTAGTCAAGCCACGGGGACTGCAAGTTCCAGTGCTGTCCGTGGCAAAATGTGTACGATTGCGGCTCGGAGTGCCAGCAGGCAGACTGGAAGCTACCGGTACCACATGAAGTCTTGTGCTCACCGCTCACCACAAGGACTAACTGGAAAAAAGGGGGAGCAAGAAGAATTTGCAGTGCTCTGCCTACGGTATGGGACGTGTGTGCGGATGGCAAGGGCAAAATCAGGTATTGTCCCTGCAAAGAAGAGGCCTACCGGTACCGTACTGTACGCACCGCTAGCAAGGGACGTCAAAAGTCAGCCCTTGGCACTTGGCCAACAAAGGTTAATTGTCTTAGTGATTGGGTACGGTATCTATGGAAGCGACAACATTGGGGTTGGTTCATGATCGCTCCAGCGAGAGTATGCACGATCTAGTAGCCTCGATTAGAATCCGCTTTAAAAAAATGCATTTCATCCTTCCATTCGGGTCAACAGAGTCACTATCTTCAATAATCCTAGCTAGTTGTGCCATACTCGCCCCTGCTCTGTGGTCCTTTGAATAAAACGGTAGTCCAGTCTGCAAAGGTAGATAGATTGGAGGAGCATGTCCAGCTCCGATGCGAGGGGGTAGCCAACATCAAAATAATGCTTCCATGTCTCACAATGTTCGTGTGGAATACAATTGCACTTCTTGCAACAAAAAGAATCAGTCACCAAACAATTGGACTCTCCCTTGGATGGGTTTCCGGCAAATGTGACATTCGTTCAGCAAGGGCGAGCAGTGAAGACATGTTTGATGTCCACAATAAAAGGCCACTTGTTTCTTGCGCTCCAAGCACACAGCACATGTGAAATCATTTTCACTTCCTTGGTCGTCACATTGGTCATCACTTTTGGAGGCAGTTGGCGGTTGCATGGCGGGTGGTAACGAAGGAGGTTGCATCGGCGCCACCGCGGCCAAGGGTACTTGGTGCTCTTGTCCCTCACCGTCGTTTCGTATGGAAGTCGGCAGGGTATTGGTTAGCTCCGACACCAACGCCACAGGATATTCCAGCACTTCCTCCAACGTCGGGGCTGTCGGTCGTAGCACAGGAATGGATGTTGGGTCTCCTCTATCTGCCGTCGACTCTGGTGCCATTGGTGGGTTGTCGATGTATAGTTCCGCTTGGGCTTCTGGGAGAAGCGTGGCAGAAGCCATGGGCACAAAGGAAGCCGGAACTTCTTCCGCATCACCGCCGCGTTCTTGAACTAACAGGTCCAAGGTTTCTATAGAATCCAATCCTTCTGGTCCCCACAATAGCCCAGGAGAGGAGTCTCTCCCTCCAGAAATCACCAGCTTGGAATGAATGATAGACAGAGACGCCCCAGCACGGGCAGTTTGTAGATTGGGAAGCTTCTTCCAGTCCGGAGTATGATTGACAAAGGTGGTGTGTTTCAGGTATTCCACTGTGTTGAGGATACTACCAGAACTGCTGCTTCCTCCAGCCACCACGATGATACCAGAATCTGTAACAGTGACAGCAGAGGAAAACCGTGCCGTGTTCATGGATGCCACAGGTTCCCATGCTGCTAGGTTGTTGCATGCGGCTGCCAGGTCGAGTCGTTCCACGGACGCCAGGGCTTTTCCCTTCTCATTCTGTCCACCAATGGCATACAGGTATCCACCAACGACAACTGTTGCAAGATTCTTTCGACGCACATTGAGATCCGGCAGTCTTTCCCAACCGGTCGGAGTAGTTTGTTGTTGCGTGGCGGAATCTTGCCTCAGCGACAGCATACTGACCGACCGCGAAACTCTCTCCTTGGCCGCGAATACCTCATAGAACTTGGGTGATAGAGTAGTAAATCCACCCACGGCGTAAATGGCATGATTGTCGGTTGTTATAGACGATCCAGCCTGCTCCATTTCCGCTCTGAATCTCCAAAAAGCACTCTCCGGCTTGGCAGTGGAATCTTGAGTGCCAGAAATGCCCAGGCTGCTGCCAATCCAGTCAAAGACGGTGGAAACGACTCCTCTGCTTTGTATTTCCATGTATCGTTTCAGATCCGCTACAATCAGTTCCTCTTGGGGTATATACCCATGTGCATTCAGCTTGGTTTTGTCGCCGGTGTCATTCTTAACCACAGCGTATAAATATCGGTTGTCCACCAAGACGATGGAAGCACCCGGTGCCAACACAGCTTTCGTGACTGCATGTACCGAGCCGAAGAGAGGTTTTTGATTCGGCATGTTCAGTCCAGGAATGGTCGTTTCCAGATGCCATTGCCCATCTTTCATAGTCAGAACAAACCCTGTGGACAGCCATCCCTTCTTGCCTGCATTGTGGCCCAAAACTACCAAATGTTGCCCGTCAAATACAACCGAGCTGCAACTTGAGACATCCACTTCCGGTGTAAATGCATGGCGCACTGTGGTCCAGGCATTAGCCGCATACAACATCCTTGCTTATTATTGGTGTTCTTGGTGTTGATTGAGGATACCTTTATCAGATTTTTTGAATGATGGTTTCTTGTGGAATGGCATCAGTTTCCGTTCTTCCTCAAACCGGGAATGCTTTAGGTTAGTTGAATCGTGCTTCTCGGGGTTGGATCGTGAGCGCACCGTCGCCAACACCTACCTCCCGTCACATGGTCTTCCTTTCGTTGCATCATGACATGTACATAGAGACAATAGAATGTAGTTGTAGATCATCGGGGGACCATCACAGAGGGGTTTGTTGTAGGAGCAATCATCTCACCACTGGATATTGGCTCAGAGTCACCCTGTGTCCTACCGGTACAAGTACCAGGAGCTAGCTAGAAGACACTGCCAATCTGCTCGACCCAAGCCAAAGCAAGCCTCAATCTTCATCCCCTGCCCTTTGGAAACACTCACACCTTCCTTTTAGCAACAATACTTGCTCTACAATGATTGCAATTGTGATAGAAATCTCCCCCCAAAACAGTGGAAAGAACAAACCAAATGGCTCAAAATTCGTCCCTCACACCCACCAAGACCTACCGAAGTCAAAAGAAGGCAAAATGCTTTGACTGTGAATCGAACACAGGACCTTCAGATCTTCAGTCTGACGCTCTCCCAACTGAGCTATCAAAGCAGAGTTATTTATTTAGCTGGATACATAACCAAAGTTTTTATCTACAAAGCCAACAATACAAGATGATGCAACCTTCAAGAGCTGTCATCAGCAAGTGTAACCAAGTGTTGGTTACTTTTTCCATGGATGCCTCTTCTGCTGCCAATGGTTTTGCTGTAATGTGGTACTGGCTGTTGTCCATGGCGACTTTGCTTCCTTGTTCTGCACTGATGCTATCTAGCTAGGTAGATATTTGGCTGTAAGATTAGACTAGCCAGAACTTTAAAATATACAACTGGGGTTGCAAAGGGAGGACCAATGACAATCCCATAACATAATAGAGCAGCAAATGATTGTGGCGCAACCTTTTTCTTTTGTTAGTCCTTTTACTTTGCTACTTTTTCCAACACAGTCTCAATGTAGACAGCCCCTAGCTAGATACAGGCTTAATGAAAATGAAACCAACAGTCAAAGACATGCTCAAAGAGGCACCTTTATGTCAACGACGATGGAGAAGAGGGTGCTAGCTAGAGGGAGACAGAAGCAGAATAGTTAGTTGCCACCAGCAAGAAGTTTCAAGTGGCAGCAAGTCTTTGGCCTTGCTGGTGAGAATAGAACAGCTCTCTTCTGGTAGAGACAAGCCCTGGCTTGGCGAGTCGATTCTATTTGATGGTGCTGCCTGCATGCGCCATGAAGGAAATTTGCGAAGGTACGCCTTGGGAAAAGGAAAGACAAGTTTATCATTTCAAATTCTGCAGGATTCCGAAAAAAGTAGCAATTATTTGTAGCTAGCTAGCTAACATATGGATACACCAATCGGGAAAATAGCTACGGTACTAACTACGATATCATACATACTAGTCTAGTTCGTCGCGTTGACTATGCATACACAAGCCCCCCACACACCGTCAATCGGTTGGCCACGAGAAAGTTTTGGGGCTGTGTTTTGTTGTGGTTCCATGTCCGCGTGTAGTTTTTGCCTAGGATTTATGAGCGTGTGACTTCCCCTTTGTCTTGCTCTGCAATTCGGAAAGAATTCCTGCACACGCCAAACCAATACCCGACCAACCCGTGAGGGAGAGTGCATGTCCCTTGAGGAAGATGGACAAGAGGACGGAAAAGATCTTGCGTGTGGTGGTCACCGTGGACAGGACGAGTGGATCAAAGTTGGCAATGGTATAGAAAATGAAAGATTGTCCCACTGCCGAGCAAATGGCAAACTTGATGATTTTGCTGTATATTTCTGGGTTGGCGACGCAATATGCCATTCCAGAGTTGAGTTCTCCGAGTCCCCCTGCAATGACGATCGCTGTCAGGCACATGAATAGGTTGGTCCAAAACATGAAATCATAAGGCTTTGGCTTGACCCCTGCCTGTGCTGTATCAGTCTTGAGACGTTTCTGGAATCCTGCCGTGACACCATCCAAGACGAGCGACAGGACAATGTACACGACACCCATGGTGGAACTGGGCGCGCCACTTCCTTTCTTCTTACCCATGGAAACAACGGCGGTACCTCCAATAATGGCAGCAACTTGCAAGTATTCACGGACGGTGTAGGAAGCTCCTCCCAACAACAAGGAACCCGCCATGACGGGAGCCATTTTTCCACTCTTGGCCAAAGTCGCAACGGGGAAACTAAGTCCATTGGCTAGTGCCAGACTGGTGCAAGCCTTGGCCGAAACTTGGGCGGCTCCCGAGATTCCAAAATACTTCAATGGGATTCCCTTTGTGGGTCCGGTCACTTGCATGCCGGCAAATCCAATAATCACGTTGGCGAGTGCCTCCAAAACCTGCAGGAACCATGCCTGTTTGAAGGAACTTCCATCTACAGAAGTGTAGCGGAAAACGTCCTCCTGAAGGGATCCATAATACAAGAATGCACCATAGATACCTCCAGCTCCAATCATCAATTTCGCAGCATCGGGAAGTCCTGCTTTTGCTTCCGCCATTTTGGTGGTTTCTGCAGGTGCTGTAGGAACAATGGGATTCGCACTAAAGATTTTAGGCATGGCAAGAAAATGCAGGGTGAGAGAAAATCAGCGACTCGAAGCAAAAAAAAGGGTATATACCCATCGTTGCCAATATTTAGTTGCGTGTGAAGATTAAAATTGACTTACGGATCTTCCGGTGGAGTAAGGGTCGCCGTACTGGTGGGTGGAGTTGTTTCCAGAGAGCTACCGACTCGTGCCGCCGCTCTAGCACTGGGTTGGTTATCAGCAGCCGCAGACAAACCTGATAGCAGAGAAATGCAAGCAAAAAGAACAAAGAGACGGTTCAATAGACGAGTTGTGGGGTGGCGGTGGTGATTGTGCAATCCTGGCATAGGTGTCGATCGTTTCGAGAGGGTAGATAGAAAGCAAGAGTGCGTGGAATTTCTGTTTGGCCGAAACGTTATCGTCACTCTTGATATTTTATACAACAATAATCGAGGCCAGCAAATCAGAGAGACAACGACAGCAACAGACAGCTGAAAGATTCAATGAATGGTGGAGCTGAACGATGGAATCTTTAACTGCGAGCAGATGGATGACGAGCGACGCGAAGCTCTCCTCTCCGTCTCAATTGATGGGTATCATGATGCCACAGTTTGTTTGTCTACTCACCTGCTTCCACGTGGGAGGATAATGAGCTTGGCATCGATGTCAAAAAGTGGAAACGACGAGCTTCGATTAGGTTTTGTGGTTCAAATGACGACTGTGCTGCATTGTCCTTGAATACCGTGTTGTGTTATCCCTAACATCCTCCCCCAAAAAGAGTAAAAGGGGGTGGTATGGATCACGAATCCCGAGCCCTACTGCAAAACCCAATACATCCAGTCAGTGGCAAGGAAGCCACAAATCTCAATGCTGCCAACCACTTTGCTTTGTCCATGTTGGTTTTGTCGGTCAGGTGCTGCCAACAACATAATTATATCTATTGAGTGATCGAGGCAATGGGATCCCAACAGAGCACCCCAGTGGCAGGGACACCGACAGTAAAAATTTCGAATGGATCGGAATCAGTACCGGTAGCATCTGCGACGGACTCGAATGTTACAACACCACCAAGACAACCAAGAGCATCCAAACCCAAGAGGACAGGGATCGATGCTGTAAACCACAAATGCCGAAAGAAAAAGGCGGCATACGACAAATGCTTTTCCGAATGGTACAACGAGCGCTTTTTGCAATTAAAGTCTATAAACCAAGAAGAAGAATGTGGGGAGTTGTTTGAAACCTACAAACAGTGCTATATGAAGGGGATGAAGCGAGAATTCTTTGACAAGGGCCAAAAGAAACCCAAGGAGGGAAGCCTGCTGGCGGAAGAATTGGATGAATAGAAATTAGTTAACAATCTGCAAAAAGAGAGATCATGGAAAGATTACAGCATGCAAGAGGATTGTTGAAGAGTCACAACGAAGATATCCCGGATCAAATCGATCCCAGGCAGGTAGCAGCATTTGAAGTTTGAAGGCTAGCTTGGATACGTTGAGGGCAGGATCCCTTGTTGGAAAGCTACATTGACGCAATCAGTCCACACGCACACTGGCTAAGAATGGACACAATAACTAGCCATCAGATGCCAATATCCCGCTCTATCTAGAAAAACCTTTCACCAACACCCCTATTTTTCACTCAAGTTCAAGCTGAATTAACCATCAAGAAGACCATTTAATCGAGGTAAGAGTGCGTGTTACTCTTCTAGCTAGTGCTGTACCGGTAGCTTGATACGTCATTCCTACTATTTCAACAATGACGCCAGAGTTTCCAACGTGACTCCCGAACTTGGATCATCACCGAGCTCCTCTACAATCATGTTGGCTCCTGTAAAGTCTTCGTTTGCCGTATAGGATGATTTGGTCACAATGCAACTGATTTCAGCAGCTTTGGCAGCCCCCCATCCAATACCACTGTCTTCCACAATGACACATTTGGCTTTGTCGAGTCCCATGGTCTCCACTGCCATGTTGTATACATCCGGTGCTGGCTTCTTTTTCTTCACCATGTCTCCGGCAAAGATTTGAAACTTCGAAGCTCGTTCCGGACCCATGAGTGTATTGACTAGGTTTCTCACTGCTTTTTCGTTGCTCGTGGAACACACCGCTAGTCTGATCCCTGCGGCAATAGCGTCATCAATGATTCGAAGCACTCCTGGTCGAAGGGGAATCACTTTTTGATCAATCAGATCCATAAAAATGTCAGTTTTGCGGAGATGCAATTCTTTGACCTTTTCTTGTCGTTTTTCATCGTCCTCTGGCATGGCATCCGGCCATCCTACTTCATTCCAGTGAGCTGTCATGCGTTCCTTCCCACCTCCAACTTCCAGGAGGACTCCATACCTTTAGAAAATTGACAAGTAAGGATAATATTAGAGGAGAATCATCAAAGAACCAAAGTAGCCACAAAAGTTCGTTACTGACCGTTCCACATCCCACACACAATCCAACTTGTTTTCCTCAAAGGCTTGGTTGAAGGCTGGCCTGTGTCCGTCTCGTTCCGTGTCGGCCAACACACCATCCATGTCCCACAGAATTGCCTCCAGTTCAGCATTCAAACTTGTGGTGGTGGAGCTGATTGATTCGATTCATGAGACATTTGCAACGTACCGGTGTGTATGGGAAGAGAAGGAGAGAGACAAGAGTGAATGGACTCGTCACCGAACAGTTGCAATGCGATTGCTATGATACCTGATGATTCCCACTTACATCGGAACAGCACCGCGGGACAACCGGTGCATACCGGTGGTGGTAAAGGCTCCAGCGGAACCTACCACAATCAACAAGGCTACCAATTGCTGAATCATCTTTCTGAATGAACAATGTAGATAATATCTTCTACCACACCGACAAGATGGGTGATTCATCCAACCTCATTGTCGTGCTTCGTTCAAACGGAAAGGCAAACTGAAAGAGTGCTGCCAAAAGATACACTGACGTCATACACGTACCGAAGTGCTTTAGCTCTATCCATAGTCCGCGGGACTTCCACCTCAGTCGTGTTGGCGGCATTACACATTTTTCTTCTTAGACACCCACAAAAATGGCCAACGGCAAGCCCCGCTGACTGGGATTACTTCCACCGAAGATGGTATATGCTCGTTATCGCTCGTCCCATGGGCGTAACAAGAACCATTACCAAGGCAGTAACCGGATCTGAGACTGGTTTCACACGGATTTCTAATTGAGGAATATATATGCATCCTCACTCAATGGCTCTTCATCATCTCGGTACCTAGCCAGCATCGCAGCAAGCCCCAATAGCAAAAACTTTCCTTCCATGTTTCGAACGTCTCATTTGTTCCTTCTCAGCAAAACAAACCACAAATCAGCATACCCACATCAATGACGAGGCCACACAGCTCCTCCAGGCCGCCACCCGTACCTCCACAGAGAACTCCTGAGAGTCGCCGCCAAGGCAACTCCAGATCGGTTCATGCCCCCAGAAGCCCCTACCCGAACAATGCGTTCCAGCCGGTATCGAGATCCCAGAGTCGAGCGTCTACCATCACGCGGTCGTTCTCGTCGGGATCTCAGTTGGATGAACCAGATAACACTGCCATCATTCGAGGGGCACAACTTTTGCGAGAGCGTTTGATGAACAACAATCACAAAAACGAAGGCGGAGGGAAGGTTTCCACCTCGCCGGAACGCCTGTTTACCTCCAAGAATGACGCTGTTCTTCAGGATCTCTTGGGCATCGAACCAATGCATCCACCAGGAAGTCCTAATGATGTCACCTTTCAATTCTTCTCCCAAGATTGGCTGCCCGATTGGTCCGATCAGTCTTGGAGTATCTCAGGGAGTGCGTTTGATCGAGGTTCCACAGCCGCCGTATCGCCGCCTCGACAGGAACACCGCAACCACCACCACCACCACCACCACCACCCCGATAATACTCTCCCGCCAGGAACCACCGCATCTACCAGTCGTCGCACAAGCCCTGATGTTATGGATCATAGTCAACGCCAAAAGAATGGAAACTATCCACGTGAAAACACTCCAGCCGGTCCGGAGCCTCGTCTTCGCAGCCCCCGCACGTTGGTCTCACAACGAACAAGTCCGACTAGTGGGGGTCGAAGAGGAAAGCCACCACGTGACGAACGAGCTTCAACGCCATTACCAGCACCTGCATCTCCTCCGGTAGCAACATCAGCGAAAGCAAAATCTGACCCACTGCCAGTGACCCCCGCTACCAGCCCAGCCGACAAAAAGAGCAATTCCGAATGGCAAACGACGGCATCATTCCCGACAACGACTGATATGGATGACAGCAACCCTTGGGGGAGCCTTTCAGAGCAAAACTCTTCCATGGACACAGGTCCTCGTTCCAAGGAAACTGGCCCTGATCCACTGACCGACATGAAGGAAGCCGAGGAAGCTCTGCTCGCCAATGGGCTTCAGCATCATGAGCTGGTCCATCAGCATGACGGCGACATGATCGTGCAAGTGTTCATGACTCGCCCCGACGTTGTTTCGGATGCCCGGGCTTTTGATGAGTTTATTGAAACGACTTCATTGGACGACAAGGCATTTGAAGAATTGATCGACTCCAAGGAATACGATGGCGAGGATAGAGAGGGGGTTTGGCCCATCGAGAATCGAGAACACATTGACCAGTCAATGATGAGGGATGACCAGCTTCAGTCAAGGGCCAAGCAGCAAGGCAATGCAGTCGCACGCACCCGTGAAGTCGCACTCACCCGAGGGAGGCCCCAGAGATCCTATTCGATCGATGTGCTGCCCAACACAACTGTTCCGAAAAGGTCACACTCTGCCGGTGTGGAACGAAGGCAGTACAACAAACGCAATCATCAAAGGCATGTTAGTAGTCTCCGAGATGACCTGCTGTGCGGCATGGAGACCAATTGCAACACCAAATACACTACGGAGCCGATTCCGATTGTGATTGATCAAAGCCGTTTGTTGGAAGCCCCGTGCACATGCCCTCAGCTCGAGGAACAACCTACAACACTTCAAAGCAAACCCGGTAAAAAGGAGCGTTCGCACCATATCCACAAAGGCAGACCCCTGCAGGACCATGACGCCATCCTCAATGACCGCAAGCACCACGAACAACGTCACCTTTCCAAGCATAGAGCGGAAGACTCGGCATTTCCAGAGTCGGCAATTCACAACGAAGGAAATGGCTTTGGTGTTCTGTCCCCGGAAAGCAATGAATACATGGCGCTTCAAAGAACTGATCTTGCATTTCAGCATGCCATGAAGGCGGGGGGTCTCTGGCAGGCACTGGTTGGAAACCACGTACGCTTCCCCAAGCATTGGTGGCAGGGTGGTTATCGGACGGCTCCTATGGGGTGTCCCCGCCACTTGGCTGGAAAAAACAAATGGGTTTACTACGACAGGCATCGGATCAAGGTGCGTCTATTTACTTGTGCAACTAGTAACCTCTACCTTCCCATCATCCACACTTGTTACACGCTTCTAACTCTTGTGCGTGCCTTGATCTTTTCGACGGCAGGGAAACAAGTTTTTGAATCGTTGCGTCCGAAAACGCGATGCAGCGGGACAACTCCTTTTGCATCTCGTTGTGAGGGACTTCATGTTATCGAGCCCCATTCTCGATATTGCCATTGGGTGTTTCCACCCCAACGCTAGGTCTGTACGGGTATCCCAGAATCCCAATCCACGTAATGATGATTGTCGAGATGTCTGGATGGCAACTCGATTCCGAACAGAAGACGTGATATCCGTCATTGACCCTCTGTTCTTCTTGGAGAAGATGGGCCAGCCCAAAAAGAGTCCTCTTGGTGACTCCAAACGCCGCATCAGCAACGGCAACGTGCGGGCTATCTTTGGTGAAACTCCACCACTCTGCACAGTCTTTGTTCAGGAAAGCGATATCTACGAAGACCTGGCAGCGATGGATGGCTTTGAACATTCGGGACCAGCTGATATTCTGCTTCGAAAGTATGTATTCACCCAAAACGGCGCAACCTATTGATTTGATTAGATGGCAACTTTAGGCTTGGTGTGCCACACACTATTTGCATGTGGTGACGCACGAACCTGAAACTACTAGGCTCGGCACACAATCGCGCTACGCACACTACCAGGGATATAGAATGATTTAGTTTTATAATGAAAGCGCTATGAGCATTGGTGTTTGATCCAGCGTCATTTTTGCAACCGCTGTTTTCGTGCTGCAGTCCGCTTTGTTCAACTCCTCAAACACAGCGAACCGAGATGGTAAAAGCACAAATCATGTCCTTTCCTTAGTCTCAGTCTGTCTGCCCGGTAGCTAGGCTGAGTCGCTTCGAAGCATCGCTTCCTCAACAGGAGGTTTGCCTGGGAGAGCCATGCACTGCAAGGTCCACACTCTGGATTTGCTCAGGAACTCAGACTGAGACTCGAGTAGTCTATGTACAAGTACTAGCTGGCTAGTATGTTCTGGGTGGCGGCTCGACGGGAAAAGTGAGTGAGTAAGAATTGCGTTTTTGTTGAGGAAAGAAGGATTTAGGTCCCTCTGAACTACTGGCGGCTTTGGGCAAGGCGGGCAATCATCTTGATGACTTTTATTAATTAAAACTCTTGATGCTTCGTTCGGTTGCTACCTGGTACGTGCCGACCGCTGTGTTTTTCATTTTGTTTTTTTAGGAGCCAACCCAGCGGTCATTCATGGGGGGCGGGGGGGGCAGCTGTGTTATTATTATTATTAAAACCTCTTTCTTGTTTTTTTTTAAATCTAATTTTCTCATAACTCCCTCTGTTTCAATAATGCTGACTTTGTACTAGTGTACATGTAGAATCTAGCTTTTTCAATTCTAAAATTAGTAGAGTTTCATTTCAAATTGAGTCCCACAAAATGGGCACAGGGGCGCAGTGCCGGCGCAGCGCCGGCGCAGCGCCAGCGCAGCGCCGGCGCAGCACCCCTTTTGTGGGACTCAATTTGAAATGACACTGTCATAATTTTGGAATTGAGAAATCTAACTCAGTCTTGACAAGACTCACCTGAGTCAAGAGTAAGGTACCTACCCCTAATCAACAGCTACGGTACCAATAAAATTAAAATAGCTAGACTACTATTAATAGTAGCTAGCTTGCCGCTGCTTCCAAGCATTATCCGATTTACCAGTATTATTATTATTATTATTATTTGAGGTCCCTGTCCATGCTGTTGTTCATAAAACAGCACTCGGTGGCCATCAAAAAGAGCACAGAAGGTTGACTGGTGAGAGCTTCGAGAACTACGGTACTATGCAGGGTGTGGGACTCACATGAAGTACATGCAGTGAGTACTCGATGTGAGTACATGTACTGAGTACTGAGTATACTCAGTACATGTACTCACATGATTTTCGAAATCGTGAGTACTACTCAGTACATGTACTCACTTGCCTCCAGATCGTGAGTACTCACTCTGAGTACTCCTGAGTACTCGAGAGTACTCATCTAGTACTCAAGTGAGTACCGGAGTACTTTCGTGAGTACTCAGAGTACTCGTGAGTACCGTGAGTAGTGAGTCGAGTGAGTATTCGGTGAGTACTTTGTGAGTACTCGTCCACCGCGAACAGAGGAAAAGATCATTATTTTCTCACTTGGGCCCAAATTCCCATTGAAGCCATTGATTGAACTGATTGACTGAGTGAAACTGATTGAAACTGATAGAAGGAAGCTCTTGAATAGCAGCAGGAAGCAACTGTTGAATCAGCAAGAAGCCACCATGTCGATGATGAGGATGATGATCACTTATCCCAGGAAGAGATTGCGGCAGCTGTCAATGAAGGGCAGAAGAAGACGGAAGAAGCCCACGATCTTGATGATGGAGAGCAAGAAACAGAAGCTGCAAATGATGCCATGGCAGCGGCTCTTGGAACTGATTTGAGTGCCCAGTACTTGGAAGCCAAGAGTATCCGACGCTCCTCCGCAAGCCACCCGGCGTTCTGAAGTCTGGGAATGCTTCTACTCTGTCGATGTACCCGACCTTGATCATATTGAAAATCTCCAAACGTTGGATCATGTTGCCTATGACAAGATTCATAAAGGAATGCTTTCGGGGGGGCAATATGTGGCGTGTCGTGCATGCCTCGATGATGCGAGCAAGTCACTGCCCGTTGTCTGCACATGCCAACCTACAAGAAGGACAAATCCGGGGGGTTCAACGGCACAGGCAATCCTGGCAAGCACGTGAAGACACAACACAACGACATGTTTCTTGCAATGAAACTGAAGGCAAAAGTTTCCGTTACGAACTCTATGTCACTCGGTCTGCTGCTGCTGTTGCAGTTGGTCCACTGGCAGTACCCCAGCAAGTAGCCCAACATCCGTCAAGCAACGTCAGTCATATGACCCTTTCAGAGCCACGGTCTCTACAGCCGCGGTCTCTAATTCATGAAATGAGTATCGAGGCTGGAAAGAACAAGGCTCTGGCGGAATTCCAAGATGCACAGCATCGGTTCGCCACAAACAACAACATTCCTCTCGTGTTCTGACGGACCCAACAACTGTCCTGAATTCAGAACATTATGATCTAGTGCCATGGAATGGCCGGCTCTGTTGAAATGTCCCAACAATGCTTGATGGGACGCATGGCCATACAAACTACAGAGCCAGAGATTACCAAAATTTGATGCTGCGGTTGGAATGCATCTAGGAGAGACTGACAGTATACATGATTTGGTGAGATAAGGTTTCCTCACTGTCTCTCCATATTTGGGACTCGAACAAGAAGGAAATACTTGGAGTGACACTGTTCTTTTACAATCCCAAAAGGGAGTGCTATCTACGAGTTCCCGTGGCACTAGTGGAATCTTTAAACAAGAAGGGAGATCCCACCACGGAGCAGATTAGGCGTCTCCTCACAGCTTTTGGTGTCGAGGATGGAATGATCTACAAGCTATGAATGACACTACTAACACGCGCTAAAGGTGGCCGCAATCTGAGCGGACAAAATGCCTACTGTGCCATCATGAGATTCAGCTTGCTTTCTCACATGCCACCGGTCAAAAGAAGCGACAAGTAACAGGAAAGTGATTGACGAATTCAAGGAGTGCCAGGACATTCGGAAAGAAGCAGAGACGGTCGCCAAGTGGTTGGCCAACAAGAAATCCAAGGGAAGATGGAAGAAGTTAGTGGACGAACTGGCGAGTGTTGGTCGGACACCCCGAGCTTTTTGCATGGGCAACGAAACAAGGGCTGGTGGCGAAGCTTTGTTCTACACCTCCTTTGTCCAGCTAGGTGGAACCTACACCATTATTGCAATGTTGACAGCAAATGTCCAGTTGTGGAGGATTCCAAGTTCTACATCATGGCACAAATCATGGCAGTGGAATTCCCAATGTTGAAGCTGGTTGCTTTTGTCCAGACAGATATCTATGGTGCCAATTCGTATACTGCCTATGGTACATACCGTGTGTTCGCTACTTATTGTTATGGCAAGCAGGTCTGGGTTCCAGAGACTCGCCGATCCGAAGCTACGAACGACACCGAAAAGTGGAATGGTACGGCACATTTCTACCCAACCAAGTTTGATGGCTCTCCAAAATGGGAAGAACCCCTAGAAGGCACACACGGACTCTACCTTCCTTCGGCCACTGAGAAGATTGGTTTGAGGACAGTCAAAGTCACGGAGCTAGAACGCGTTCCCAAGAAATTATTCCGGCGAATGTCAACAGAATTGCGATCTTATGGTGCAAATCTTAAGGACACGAAGCAAGATGACAAGATCCTCGCCATGATGTGTAATCCTTTTGGAAAAACTCACATGCTGGACGACTTGGAGACTCTTGCTACTGTTGTTGATTCTTCGGATACCCTCCCAGCAAACAAGGAGATGGGCAAGGGTATTCGGAAGAGAGCCGAGCATCTATTGACGGTTTGGGTCAAACAGATGTGGGGAGACAAATTCGAACGAGCCGATGAAGTGATTGCGAATGCAAGTCCAAAGAAACCGCAGGCCAAGCCACGAACCAACGACCCTCTTGCACAGGCAAGGGCAGCCAAAAAGAGGAAAGTCGCGGAAATACCTGTGGAAGAAGGGACAAACCCCATCACGAAAGCAATCGAGAAATGGTTGCGGACGATTTCAACTTGGTGGATGCTCTTCGGGCTCAGAAGCGGAGGCCTGTCTCAAAAGAAGTTTTACTCACAGTTGGCAATGAACCAGAAACATGGCTGGATAACATTGAAATTGTGAAGAAACACTTTGACCTCCAAGAATGGTGGGAAACCACTGGGAAAATTCATGACCCAATAATCTTTGAGGTGGCCATGCGCATTTGGCAATGCCGGACAGCAATGGCTTCCAAGAAAGGGTGTTCAGTTCTTGCACCTGGTTCGATGGCAAGCTCAGCAATGGACAGAAGGTTGACTTGACCTTCCAAATGAAACTTCTCTGCTACAAGAACAGTGCCTTCATTCATATACAAGCAATGCATCAATGAGGCACGCAAGGAATGGGCCAAAACAGAACCAAGCACTCAAGCTAACAGCAAGCAAACAAGAAGAAGAAGACTATGACAGTGACTTGGACACTATGGTGGAACTATTCAACAGCATCCAGGAGGAGCCCCAAGCCCAGAACTAGGTAGACAAAGATAATTTCTCTAAGTAATTGATATATGAGTACTCAGTGAGTATTCCGTAGTACCCACAGAATACATGTACTCACATAGTACCTGTACTCACTTGACCCCAGGAATTGTGAGTACTACTCAGTACATGTACTCACATGACCTCCAGGATTGTGAGTACTACTCAGTACATGTACTCACATGCTAAAACAGTGTGAGTACCACACCCTGGTACTATGGTACTCTATTAATAGGGCAGGGGTGGTACCGTGCTGTCATCTGTACTGCATAGTGTACCGAACCGAATTCGTAGAAACTTACGTGGCAAGATCGATTGGGGTAGCGGTACGGCAGCTGGTATGGCTTTTAGCCTTCCCATGCCAGCTTGCATGCGCAGGAGTCCAACGAGAACAGGTTGGAACGCAGTTTCCGTTCCGAGATCCACCATTGGAACCTTGAAAAAACCATCTTGTCATCTTGTCATTCTCATATTCTACCATCAACAACAGCACCCAACTTTCATCAATACATTACCGTCATCACCGTCATGGTTACTACCGATGATGATCAAAGCAACGCTTCTTGTTTCCATGACGAAGAGGCTGATCTAGTTGCTACCCCCAAGGATCAATCCGCGATCAAACGAGAGAAGATTGCAGAGACTGAAGACAGAGCTCTATTCTGTTTGCGGCTGCTGGTAATCTTCTTTCTGGTGGCGGCTGCAGTTGGGATATCGACGTTGGTCTATATGTACTTGTCAGGAGAAGAACAGCGCGCATTTGAATCTCGATTCAACAGTGATGTCCGCAAGATCTTGGATTCGATTGGTTCGACCTTGGACCGCACTTTGGGGCCAGCCGATGCTCTGATTGTCAACACGTTGGCATATGCCAAGACAGCCAATCTGAGCTTTCCATTTGTCACACTGCCTTTGTATGGACTGCAAGCGACCAAGTTGCTGAGAATCAGCAAAGGCTTTCAGATCCACATGAGCTTTGAAGTGAGAGAGGATCAAAAAGAAGAGTGGGAACAGTATGCTGAGAGCCACTTAAAGGCAATCGATGAAGCCCTGGACATTGAAGAGGGAGACCCAGACTGGTATGGACCTGTCTATCGCGACTATGGCAGATGCGAAATATACTCTTGGGGAGGAGTCCCCAAAGAAGCACCCAACAATATCACCAACACCTACATTCCGAACTGGCACGAGTTTCCAGTGTCCTCTGGATCCAGCAACATCAGTGGCGGTTGTCCATATAACTTTGATCAATACAATTTACCGGATGTCTTGCAAGCCATTCTGTACATGAAAAAGACACAGAAAGCCGTCATTGGTAACTTTCCTAACGTCAACTTTGATGTGAGTGATCCAGCACAAGCACAGATCAAAGCAATCATGGATGCTGGTATACAACAGTTGTTGCCTCCTGGAACCGATGCTCGTGAGCCATTTACACAAGTGGCCATTCCCATTTTTGATTCGGTGGATAGCGTCTACGTCGACACTTCCGAACCTCAGAGATTCCTTGGATTCATGGCTCTCTCCATCATGTTTCGAGATCTTATTGAAGGGCTCCTTCCACCAGACTCTAACGGCATCTATCTAGTATTGGAACAAAGCTGCGGTGTCCCATTCACATACAAACTCGATGGTCACAAAGCAACCTACATCGGGGTGGGGCATCAGCACGAAGAAGAATACAGTCATATGATGCAGGAACATGATTTGGCGGGCCTCATTGTTGCGACCCACAGCGAGACTCGTGACAGTACCTACACGGGGATCCCACTTTCCACCGAGTTTTGTCCCAATACCATCAAAATATACCCTTCAGCGCAGATGGAAGCCAATTTTACCTCCTCCTCTCCCATCATCATGGGATCTATCACGGCTGCAATCTTTCTCTTAACAAGTCTAACCTTTGCGACCTACGACTGTCTGGTAAGTCGCCGGCAACGACTCGTCAAAGAGAAAGCAATGGAGTCTGGGGCTATCGTGGAATCGCTGTTTCCAGAAGATGTTCGAAACCGATTGTATCAAGAGAATCGACAACGGCAAACTATGGAACAACAAATTTCCAGATTTGAAGCAACAACACCCAGCGGGCATTTTCAGCGCAACACGAACCAGATTGCTCAAGTCTATCACAACACGACCATCTTCTTTGGGGATTTAGCTGGCTTCACCGCATGGTCGGGATCACGACAACCAAACGAAGTATTTGAACTATTGGAGACGCTGTATGGTGCATTCGATGCGATTGCCAACAAGCTTCACGTGTACAAGGTAGACAGGCACATCTGAGAGAGGAGGGAAGGCCTCGAACCTATTCTCACAATCTTCTCCCTTTCCCACCTTATAGGTCGAGACAATTGGAGATTGCTATGGTCAGTGCTCTAGTGCATTCTTGCTTGCATGTATACAGATCCAGGATTCAAGGAAACTCACACCGACGGTCTCCGTGCTCGTTCCGTTGATTCTTCTTGGTGGATTTCTAGTGGCCATCACAGGCTGCCCCAACGAGCAAGAGGACCACTGTGTTCGAATGGTCCGTTTCGCTAAGGAGTGCATGGCACGAACGACCTCAGTCACACAGAGACTCTCGGACGTGTTGGGTGCCGATACCATGGACTTGTGCTTTCGTGTCGGACTCCACAGTGGACATGTGACAGCGGGTGTGTTGCGGGGAGAGAGGGGTCGTTTTCAGGTACGGAGCATTGATCTGATGCGTCTCATCACGATGCCTCTACATTTGCTAATGTATTCGCGCACTTGTAAATCATCAGCTCTTTGGGGATACAGGTAGGTGATCATGGAGCGGTAACGTGCTTTCCTTTCATCATAGTTTTGCTCAAGTTTATGCTTCACTTTCCAGTGAATGTTGCTTCCAGGATGGAGTCCAATGGTACGTACACGAATGATACCAATCCAGATGGACGTGAAGACATGCATATACGACCATGCGCTCACTCTATTTGTGCTTGCAGGTGGTAAGAGACCCAGGCTAAAACGGCAGGCACTGTGAAAATCTGATGTCCAAAATAACAATCCGACTTCTGTTTTTGTTTTATTCCAGTCAAGGGTCGTATCCATTGCTCTGAAGAAACCGCGCGCATTCTTCGAGTTGCTGGGAAGGGGTCGTGGCTTGTTCCTCGGGAAGACAAGATTGTTGCCAAGGGAAAAGGTGAGTGAAAGACACCATTGGGCCACCATTAACATTGCAAACGTCAATCCCCATCTCAAGTCATCCATTGGTCCACAGGGGAGTTACAGACTTACTTTATTGAAACAACAGGAATAGCCAAAAGCACTGTCTCGAGTGTTTCAACACATACCACGAACGCCTCCCACGTCGACTCAACACAGACTACCAGCACCTCCCGTTTAGACTCCTTGGAGCCGAGTACAACAACAAAGAATCAAACGAGAAGTATCTTATCCAATACAATGGCACATGTATCCAGGAGTATGAAGGATGAGATCACAGCAACTTGGCCACTTTCCGAGCACGTAGAAACTCTCGTGGAATGTTAAAACAGGAGGTTGAGACCAGCCAGCCCCCGGTCGATAACGGAACACCCGGTACACATCCTCCGCTTGCCTCTCACTGGTAGAAACTAAAGCTGTAACTGACTATTATCTGATGAACATGGTATCGTACCGGCGTGTCATGCATGGTCTGTTGAGGAACCAAACCACAACAAACAACAACCGTGATCGAACCGCTTGATCTGGCTTGAATCTTCAATCGGACTTAGAAGGGCTTGGAAGGTTGAAGATCTCCTATCCGTGAGGTTTCCTCACGACTTAATGAAGGGGTTTGTAAGGGGCTAGTTGATCCAAAAATTGGCAGCACCACACTGTCTAAGAAACAGTACCAAGACAGTTTTTAATGATCTTTATCCGGTGGCTTTTGGGCAGGTTGGTAAAGCTAATGGTAAAGCACACCCCTAAAATAGATACACAGCTTCACGTTGGCATGACAAATATGACCCCAGCAGCTTTGAAAAAGCTATGGGAAGAAAATCAGGTGGGGCGATCTACACCTGGTAATGGTCATTGAGCGGTATGAAAACTGAAAGGGGGGAGCGTTGATTGTTGTAAATTGAAAAAGGGGGATCCACTCATATCACCCCCACAAACAGACAGCACCACTGAAGAGACAGATGCTTTCTTCAACGAGTATCCAAAAGAGATCCAGGGGACAGAAAGCGTGATGTCATCAGGAGATTCCATTATTTGAGACTCAACATGATCACCATGCATGCATGTGTATGGTTGGTCTGTTGCTCCTTGTTGTGGTTGCTGCGGTTGTTTCCATCCCTGCATCTTCATTGCCTTTTTTCATTATTTCGATTACTCCATCAAGATGATGCTATCTCCTCTTCTTTACAGCGGCTACTCCTCTTTCATGACTACTACTACTCACCACCATGACAGGCTCCTCTTGTTTGGCTAGGCTTGAAGCAGCGGCAGGAGCTTCTTCCATTCGATGGATCGATTCGGCCGGTAGATGCTCTGTGGGATCTGATAATAGACTGACAAGGTGCTGTTGCCTGTTGTGAATGCTGCATCATCAGCGTCACTTTGGTGGCTGATGCTAGTGCTGTTATAACAACTCGTCGTCCACCTGATTGCGGCACTCTATCCCTCGATCCTTATTCAACGGAATATCAGAATATCAACTTCAAAATCGAGCACTGGACACTTTTTCTTGGGTGAACGACGAGGGATGTGAACGACGAGGGATGTCATGTTTCAACACAGTCAACACAATTGAGTTTTTCCGTGGTCATAGGGGTAGCCACAATGTTGGAATGGTAATGATAGTGGGAGCTGACAGCCACAGTTGGCAATGGCAGCGGTTGTTGGAATATGCTTTGTTGCCTACACTGCTAATGTAGACAGCTCGAATCCATATTTGCGGGTAATGTGACTAATGGTAGCAGTCGGCCACTAGCAATTTGGTTGTTGTGGCTGTTCTTGTAGCTCCTCCTGATGTGCTTCTTGTGCCGGTCGCAAAATTTGGCTGCTTCTTGTGGATAATATCGGTTCAACCATCCACAGCCTGATTGTTCGCAGTAAGTAGTAGTAGAATAGTAGCAGCAGTAGTCGCTGTTGCCTCATTGACCGTCTCATTGTCGCAATTCTTTGTGAATAACGGATAAATTGCCGACGGATAAATCACTGTTGGCAATGAATGGTAATGGATATGGACTGGCTGTAGCTGCAGCAGTTGTTGCTGGTGAATAGTAGTGGCAGTGGGCTTCTTCAATGCGATGGTCACCTCCCAATGTATTGAACTTGTCCACATACACCACCGTCTCTTTTCCCATGCTTGGTTCGAAACACCATTGGTACGATTCCCAGCCCTTTTGTCATGGTCACGGAACATGACAGGCGGTACTTCATTCCTTGGTGCTTTTTCATGCAGAGAATTTTGACGGTGCCGACACTTTGGGAGACAGTGTTGATGCTTCTGGCAAACCTTCTTGTGCTTCTTGGATGCCATTATTTCTGGTCTCTTCTCATACTAAACTCACTGGAAATTGTATTGGAATAGCTGGCTGGTATTGTGAACTGATTCAATTCTATTTATGCTCGAGCTTGTCTATTCCTCATGTTTGCTTTATCGTACTGTACGGACCAATGACGATAGAAGCTCGATCTCTGTTGTGCTTTTCAAATGGGCGCGAAACTCCATCTCTGTTGTGCTGCTATTCAAAAAGGTGCCAGTGGATCTTGGATCTCACTGGAAATAAAGAACTCCAACCTTGTCAAAACCGGAGGCAACTCCATGGAGCCTCACGCACTTTGCCCACCATCTCCTTCCTTTTACACGAATGCATCCACAGAATTCGATGACATCGTGACCTGATAATCAACCGAAACATGCAGCATTCAACAGCACAGCAAGCGCATGACTGAGAAGATTTTGCTTGTACCGCTGCCGATATCTTTGAGAACCAGCGAAGATGACAACCAGCAACAGGAAAAGGTTAAGAGATGAAGGGATGCGAGCTATCTCACAAATATAATAACCTAGAAGAGCTAACCATTAAACAATGATAGAAATACAGACCATTCAAGCTGCATTGGAGCAGCATGTGGAAGACGAGACCGTGAGAGATTATCTCTCAGGGATCCTGCGAGAGGAAGACGTCTACGACGATGTGGAAGCCTTGATCGATTCGATCCAACCCTTCCTGGACGATGATCGGCAAATGGCAGAGGCTCTGGTGCGTGCTGTGAGCGGTGACATTGTGGCAAAGCCCGCAGAGGCCAAACCGGTGCCAGCAGCCCCCGTGACAAGAACCGCGGAGGCACAACATGACGACACCGAAGACGAATCTGCATCTTCTGCTTCCTCACAGGAACGTCAACCGAAAGAAGGAAAAACCACAAAGACCAAGAGCCATGCAGCGCAACGAAAGGAACGAAGAAGGCAAAAGAAAGAGAAAAAGAGCAAATCTTCTCCCAAAACAACCAAGCAAACCAAAAAGCAACCAACAGGAGATATCAACGAAACGGTGTCTCGCATCAACGCCCAAAGCGCCCAGGAACTCCAGGAATTGGACGATTATTCCAGTGCCTGGAAAGAGGCCAAAGAAACAGGCCAAGTGTGGGGAGGACGAGGCAAAGGAGGTACGTTGGATCAGAATAGGCGGCTCACCAAAAACAGCCTTTCATTTGTTGATTAGCACACTAATCCTTTCCTGTTCTGGAATTCGATCGTTCGCTTTCATTAGGACGAGGAGTCAATCGAGGATTGGGGGAATATAGAGGCAAAGATGCCGTGGTCAACCAACTGACACTGTCCTATGGAGGACGAGACTTGCTTCTCGAAACGCACCTAGCGATTTCGCATGGGCATCGCTATGGACTGATGGGACCCAATGGATGTGGCAAAAGCACTTTGCTCCATAGAATTGCCAGTGAGAATGTACCTGGTTGGCCGTTGCATCTGAGTGTGAGAATGGTCGAACAGGAAGTACTGGGGACACCACAATCGGTATTGGAGTGCATGAAGAACGAAATGAAGACTGGTGGAGGCGGGAACAGTTCGCAAAAGAAGCAAGAATTGGAAGAGGAGTTGGCAGAGCTTGAGGCCATTCTGGAGGACAGCAATGCCCAGCCTGAGGCCGTGGAAGCGGCCGCCGAACGTCTCAGTGAGATTTACGAACAGCTCGAGGCGCTCGAGAGTGACGATGACAAAGAGGAAACTCCTGCTGAAACTGGTGGAGCCTTTGCCCAGCTAGATAAAAGAGCCAAGAAGATTCTCAAAGGGCTGCAATTCAAGGGATCCTTGTTGGAAGTCCCAGGAAATCTCCTCAGTGGAGGTTGGCGAATGAGGCTCGCCCTTGCACAAGCTCTGTACGCGGAGCCTGATGTCCTTTTGCTGGATGTAAGAGATGTCCAGGAAACGTTGCAACGTGAACGTTGACAATGAAACAATCTTGCCTCACATGCTTTGTCTATTCGTTCCTATGCAGGAGCCCACCAACCACCTTGATGTCTCTGCCGTTTTGTTCTTGGAAGACTGGATTGTGGACAACAACCTCACTGTTGTGGTGGTTTCTCACGATGGACATTTTCTGGATGCTATTTGCACCGACATGATCAAGTTTGAAAGCAACCTCAAGCTCAAGTATCATGTTGGAAACTATACCTCCTTGTGTGAAATGGAAGAGCAAACTTGGGCACGAAACACCAAAAAGGCTGATGCTGTCGCACGACAAGAGAAAAAGGCCAAGGAATTCATCCAAAAGCAACGTGCCATGAGCAACAATAAACACAGAGACGACAATAAACAGCGCCAGGCAGCAGAGCGTCAGAAGAAGCTTGGGCGCCTTGGCCTGTTCAGCGAAAACGGCCAAAAGTTCAAACTCCTAGCTGAAGGCAATACCAAAGCTGGAGGATCCAACCGTGCAGGCCACATCAATGGCAATTATACCAATGCGGCGGGTTTTCAGTCTTTCTTTGTGAGCAACGAAAAGCACGCCTTTGGCGAGGATCGTCAATTGCTGAACTTCAAGTTCCCAGCTGCACCGCCACTAAAGGGCGGAGGAGGCCACCTGATCACCATGGAGGATTGTCGCTTTCGATACGACGGCACGGATGACTGGCTGTTGGAGGACATGTCTTTGAATTTGTCGTATGGCAGCCGCGTTGCCATCGTTGGAAAGAACGGCGCCGGGAAGAGTACACTACTGAAACTCATGTGCGGAGAGTTGACTGTAAACAAGGGGGAATTCCACAGCCACCCCAATTTGAGAATTGCCCACATTGCCCAACATCACATTGAGCAACTGGGTGATTACTTGGAAAGCACTCCTGTGGAGTATTTCCTGCAACAACATCACGCCAAGAACGAGCAAGAGGCTCGGCAGTTCCTCGGTGGTTTTGGACTCGTTGGCCCCCTGGCCTTGCAGCGTATAGGGACGTTGAGTGGTGGACAAAAGGCACGACTTGCTTTTGCCACAGTCATGCACAATGCGCCACATGTCCTGGTAAGTGAATGGAAACTGGTTGTCGCACCCACTGCTTGGAAAATCGATGGTATGCCGGCTTACATTGCGCCTTTCACTGCATCTCCCAGGTGTTGGACGAGCCAACGAATCATTTGGATCGTGATAGTCTGGAGAGCCTGGCCAAGGCTGTAGAGAAGTTTGAGGGCGCTGTAGTGATCGTGTCTCACAATCAGGACTTTATGTCTCGGTGCGCGAACGAGATGTGGACTGTAGCGAACCAAACCGTCAAGGTAGAGGTGGCCGATGGAGAAGTGGCTACCTTTGATGACTTGTACGACCAATACAAGGATGGACTGCGGAAGGAGATGAGAAAGAAGAGATAACTGCGGATTTTCTTTTCGGTACTAGCTAGCTATAGTAGCGGCAGTAGTCGCACCAGACTAGTTCAGATCTTCCCAATCACTGAAGTTTCCAGCACCAGACATGTAATAACTGCTCACTTTGGAATGCAGATACATGTAGGTCTAGCTAGACGAAGCATAAAGTTTGGGAATCTATCGGGACCGTCCCTGAAGAAATACCGGTACCGGTACCGGTACAGGAATTGTACTGTACCGGTACCTGGTACCGGTACTTTGATGTTTGATTGCATTGACGATTCCACGCAACTAGACTACTAGAGTACAATGTCATGTAAAACTTTTCTCAGATGGACGCGTTCCCGAATTTCATGCCGCTGCAGCTGCCCTTATCTCTTTTGTGTCTCCTGTTAATCCTTTGTTTGGCAGAAAGACTGCTCTTTTAGAGAAGTCCATTGACAATGTTGAACGAATCCACAGCATAGATTTTCTAAGAGATTGCACCTGGGGGGTGCCTCAAATCAATCTTCTCTGTTTGAATATACCCCCAACCACCTGAATACAGTCATGCAAGCAATCGCTAAAAATAGGCACAACGGACACAATGAAGCGGCAGAGAATGGTTAAGAGTGGGTAAAAGTAGGTAAGCGTGGTAAAGAGCGGTGGAGGGTGGTCGAAGACGGTAAACAAACGGTAAAAAAGGCGGTAAAACAGGCGGTTGAAGGTGGTTGCAGGCGCTTGCAGGCGGTTGCAGGCGGTGAAAGATGGTTAAAGATGGTTAAGACATAAAAGACTTAATTAAAGGAATTGTCCAATAAAACAGGAAGGTGGGAGAAGATATCAAATGAAACAACGAGTTGGTTTGAGGCACTCCCCTGCAACCTCATAGAAAATATCAGGTGAAAAACAGGTAGAAAAGAGTCCCAAAATTCACACTGGCATGAACAAGAACCCATCATGTATTGCTTCAAGCTTGCCTTTATTTCCTCATGAAGAGGTACCGATTGTATTTATTTTGCTTTTGTATGCATAATTGCAGTAATCAATTAAGATTCGCTGTTGGAAAAGGCTCCTTCTAAATAGAATCGGATATTCTTCCTGTTCATTCCCATGCAAGCTAAGCTTTAAGGGGCAAGGTGGGAAGCACAGCTGAAGCTCAAAGAGTCAGATGCAAAGAAGATCAGCCCCAGCACCGCCATCCACGAAGGACGTTGCTTGGCTGTTGCTTCCATACAAACGAAAAATCAAAAGAATATTTGGTGACAAGCTTGGCTAGCTTCTTGATATCTGCAAAATCTCAAATCTCTCCTATTCAACGATGCTGCGCTCCTTGGAAACCACTGACACTGAGGCAAACAGCACAGGACCGACCATTGAGTACGGTCCTTTCGATGAACCCTTGATCCGCACATGGGAGCTCGACAGCAACACTACCTACTATGATGCTGTGGCAGCAGCTCCTTCTGACGAGAATCTTCAAATGATGTGGTTGGCATGGACTATTATCTTCTTCAGTGTTGCCGTGTTTACCATTTCAGTCTTGGTCCCCATTATGTTTACCCCCAAGACACGCCGTTCACCTTTCAATCTCTACTTGATCTACCTGATGATCCCTGATGCATTCATGACGTTCGCCTGTGCTTCCAACTGCTTGGCCAACTATTTGGCAGGCCACTACGTTGACTCTGCATTTGCCTGCTACTTTCAGTCCTTCTACACTGTCATCATGTTTAGCAGCAATCTGTGGTTGAATGCATTAGTAGCCCTGCAGCTGCTCAAGATGCTCAAGTCATCACAAACCTTTCGTAGGTACCAACCACCTACCCACAAACAAGTGACAATCCAAGCCTTCACAGTGTACGCAGGTAGCGCCTTTGTTGGACTATGGGGAATTGTCCCGGATGCTCTTGGTTGGGACTGGTGGCCACACAAGACCCGTCTGACTATGGGTGCCATGTGCATACCTCAACCATTCAGCCATGGAAGCATTGCCTTCTTCTATGCCATCTATCTTCCTGCCATTATGCTAATTCCGTTGGGCATTGTTGCCTATGTCTTTTGGGCACTCTTTAGAGGAAACCTACTTCCTCCAGAAGGAAGACGAAGGACTCTGACAATCTACTTTTTCAGGCTTTCCCTTGCCTTTGTTGTGATGTGGACACCAACCTTCATCTTGCTCTATCTGATTGGACCATTGACTCACAGTTGGGCTCAATGGAGCGGGGCTACTTGGGGGCATTTTCAAGCCGCTGTGTCAGCCATGATTACTCTGTGGAAGCCTGATATTTGGGATTGTGTAAAACATTTCTATTGTGGCTGCTGTGATGTTGATGGAAACTACGACGATGATGACGGTGCATCATATATCACCAACACCTTCAAGTCAACAACCACTCAGATTCGAGACACAGCAGGCTCAGTCTGCAGTAGCTTGAGTTTTGGCAAGAGCAAGAAACGAAGTCGGTTTAGGTTGGACGACGAAGTGAAGCAACTCAAGAAGGATCTAGAGGCGTGGGAGAGGCTCGACGCAACTTCTCATCATGATCACGGCCGCACCACTACTGGTACGGACATGCTCTCCTTCAGTGATCCACAGCATCAGATTGTGTTGGAGCTGCCAGCAGACGTGATTGGGGGGCAAAGTTCGGCCCGACACTCAGACGATAGTTTCTGTGATTATGATGTGGAACAAGAAGCCTTGGAAGGGCAGGCAGCAACGTTGCACCAACATAGGATTATCGACATTGCCGAACCGTCGCCTGAGACGGTACCGATAGCACAAGACGAACGCTGAAATGAGGAAAACCTTGTTGATGACTACAATGACGAAGAAGATGAGGCAGTGAAGCAGCACACTGCTAGAATAATTGACATTGCTGAACCGCAGCTCATGGGTCCGCGACCAATAACGCGTGACTGAAAGCACTTCGACAAGTTTGAAACTTGACTCGACTCTGGCGGCTTCCAAAGGACCCGGTCGGAACTAATTCACAACAATTCGCAGCAAAGGAGGAAAATGCATTAACATCGGGTTCATCGTCACTCGCAACGAGTTACACCTTTACAATTGTACTTTAAATTACTAGAAGCAACATGCTTGCTACTGGGTCGTGACTATTTCCTAAAGTCCAATGACAACCCCTTTGTGTTCCTTTTGCTTAATCATCAAATGGGTTCGTACTGTTAAGGGGCGTGCCTCTCTGTGGTTTTCCTCCGCCATACGGCGCTGGAGGTTGTCCGTATTGTTGCTGCGGCATTCCGTAGGAAGGCTGGCCAAAGTTTTGCTGTGTCGGTGGTGGTGGGCCGAACGGATTGGGGTTACCCTGTGGGGGCGCCCCATACGGGGCTGGTGGTGCTCCGAATGCATTCGTGTTGTTGTTGGGTGGTGGATAGGATGGTTGTTGCGGGTAGGAGTTCCAAGATGGCTGTGCGGGAGCAGGTGGTGGCTGCGAGTACATGCTCATGGAGGGAGGGGGCGGTGGAGGTGCCGATGGAGGGGGCGGAGGAGGAGCGGCCGGAGCTGGAGCACTGGCTCCCGAATACACCGAAAGGCCATCATCATAGGCGCTTCCTCCATAGGCACTTCCGCCGTAAACACTGCCACCACCGCCGCCACCAACTCCACCATAGGCACTGCCACCACCACTGGGACCCAACGGGGGCAAGCCGCCAGCACTCGAGTTGAAGGATGCATTCACTTGATCCATGGTAGGAGGTGGCGCCGCCGAGGAAGACATTTTCAAAATATCATTGGTGGAAGGAGCCCCTCCTGAAACTGGAGCCGGTCTCATGGTCCTTTGTGGTTGCGAAAACCCGCTATGAGTCGAATCATACGAAGTGGTACGAGCCCGAACGTCGTCACTGCTGCTAGCAACTTGTACAGGGAACCCTCCCAATCCCTGGGGCGCCACGGATCCCGGAGGCATCGCAAGAGGGGTTGCTGACGAAAATGGATCTCCATTGACTGATTCATTCCTGGCTCCACCGGCTTCGATTCGATTATCCCCTCCCGATCCTCGGGTATTCAATAATTCCGGCTTTTGGTGTTCAATCTCTTTGAGACGAGGCTGAGGCGAGAGTCCATTCTTTTTGGCGACATCCTTGAGTTCCTTGACGACCTGACTCATTTGTCCCATCATTTTGGATTCGTCGTCGCTCATTGTCATGTCAAACTGTGCCAGCTTGATCAAAAGGGGATGCAAGTCTCTCCAGGATCGCTCCGTGACTTCTTCCATTAAAATGCACAAATCAGTGGCAAAAAGATCGTATTCCTGCTTGGATTTCATGAATTTTTCTTCGTTCCGACTGAGACGATCGGCACTTTTGCTATCGACCATTTTCCCCTTGGCCAATGCCTGGTTGGCCGATTGACGGAGCGTTTCTACTTTTTGTTGGTAATGATCCAAATCGACGCGCAATCCTTCGGCCTTTTTCAAGCCCACGGTTATTCTAGCCGTCACTACCTTTTCCCATTCAATCACATATTCCACCACGAACTGAGCGTACTTGGAAATGTAGGACTTTGATTTGTCGGCCACTTTGGAGTGGATGGAAACATACGAACAGACTTGATCCGCAGGTCGCTCGGGAGATGGTAGCTCTGTGGTGCAGTCGTAGAGGGGAGAACGTTCCGCTAGTTTGGCAACTTCCTTGGCAACCTAAAGTAAGAGTAGAAGAAGAAGGGAATAAAAACACGGATTAGAAAGAGTTCGCCAAATTTTGGGGGTATCCACGTAGGATCCACGTAGAAAACGTACTGCTAGCCTTGTCTTGGACAATGCCATCATGTTCTTGTGATGATCTTTGAGGACGATGATCAAGCCCTTGAGTTTCTTGGTAAACGCCACATAGGCGTCATTGAGCTTCACCAGGTCGGAACTGCGATTACGGGCCTTGGCAGCGCCCACGGCTTCCTTCATTCGCGTCGCATAGCGGCTCTTGGCGGGGGCTGCTTTTTCGGGCATCTTGCTTTTGTGTTGACGATTATTGAGAAGTGTTGTGGTGCTCTTTCAATTCGCGCTGTGACCTCGATTTCATGACGTCACGCACACGACTTCCACAGCGTGGATACCAGTTCCTCCCCCCAGTGGCAATGCACACCAGTCGGTACCGGTCATGTCTATTTATTGAGACCCGTCTTTTCGAAATGTAGAGTGCGTACTGTATTGAGTTGGTTGTCCTGCTTGCTAGCTAGCTCGTAGACCCTCGCCTTTCCTTTCCTGACCCACATCCGGCAGGGAAGATGATTCATTTTGTTTCCCCGGGATCCAGTTCTTTTGTTGGAGCCGTTCTCGCGATGTTGCTTACGCCTCACCCGCTCGTGTTCCCCGCATATTGTGTAAGTACCTATCCAGACATTTGAGAAGAACCAACCCTCCGTAGTACGTACGCAGTAGCACTAGCTAGCTACGGTAGCCAAGAGGCAACAGCCAATTTCAAACAAACGTCGAGGGCAGCAGTCAAACGAGACGGCGTCCGGGGGTTGAGGCCGCAAACGCACAGAGGACCAGGATGGAAGGACAAAACGCTCGAGTTTCATGCCTGAGAGTGCAGAGGAAACAAACTTTTCAGACCTTGCAAACCACATCCAGACTCTAGTACGGCAATAAAGAAACTGGTAGCCAGTGAAGTGCTCACTTCTATGTAGCTAAAAAAATCTAGTGACACGCACTGTTGTCCTATGCCAAGAAAGGGAAGGATATTGTTAACCATAATGTCCTTTTGCACAATGAGGGAAGGGACAATGGGGCAATTTCTGTTTTTTGGAGGTTCGGTGGTACCGTACAGGTACCGGTAGTGGCAGTGCCAGCGGACACTGTTGCTTTGTCAATTACAAACGACAAAGAGGCTTGAATGTTGCTGCTCGAAGGATGCAATGGCGCCGTGGCGGGGCACCAATTGAGAGACCTCGAAGCTTGTGCTTTGGCTACTGGTAACGTTGTGGGTGCGAGGAAAGTTAGAAGGAGCAAGTGAGCTTTCCTATGACTGAGTAAAATGCGTCCACGACTCGGTGTCAAGATCCATTTTTGGCCTCCCACCAAGATCCAATGCTGGCAACGAATTTCCTCGCTCCTTGTCATTGTCTTCCTTGTTTGGATAACACACGGCCAAACCAGCAGCAGCAGAAGCAGAGCCATTCCGTCGTCTCCAGGGCATCAGTAAACGGAAGCTCGTGAGAAGACACTGTCTGATAAAATGAGCGAACCTTGCCTCTTTTGCGTTGATGGGTCATGGCCTTCGAATCCTAATGCGCTGATCTCAATTGATGTGCCCACGATGATTCCTCTCCCAGAATCAAGTCCGGATGCTACATCTACGAGTGTCGAGTTTCGTTGCGAGCAATTGCGATATCCAGGTGATCTCAGCAACTCGCTTTTCCTGGAGGAGTACAATAGTAGTTGTGCCAGCTTTTCCAATACCTTTTCGGAGGCTTGTGGCTGCCCTTCTATGCCTATGATTGACTACTCGAATGCCACCGACGTCAATGTTGCAGAAAGTGAAGCTGATGGTAGCACCAACATAGACGCAGGTCTTTGTTCTCTCTGTGCCAAGCCTGGGTCTCTTCGACCGGACGGTGTTGTGGAGGTTCCCAAACTGGGAAATAAGACCTGCCAAGAATTGTCCGACATGAATGCTTTCACGCTCGACAACATTGTTCGTGATCGATTCAATCTCACGTGTGATGCATTCCAGAAAGAAGTTCTGGATGTGTGCGGCTGCAATCGAGATTGTGGTCCTATTATTTGTCCCAATGGGATGATTCCAACTCGTCCCAATGGCATTATTTCCACAGCTCTCGGCGATTGGACGTGTCTCCAAATGTATGCCTTGGGGACGCTGGATAGTGCCACCTACGGACAAAACTGCACCGAGCTTGCCGCCGTTGCACAGCGCGAGTGTGGATGTAATGGTACTACTACTGACGATGTAGGAACTGCTACTGTCGGTGGAATGGAAGGAGAAATAATGGAGCCAACAACCGAACCAACAACGACCCAGACCGCCCCAGTCTCGGCGTACTTTGATTTGACTGGAGGATCGATTCAATTTCGGTCTTGTCATACTGCATCTACCTTGGCAGACGAATCTCCGTCGACACCTACGGCATCTGCTCGACAATACAGTAGCACAACGACACAGTCATATATAACATTTCAACTATGCTCGGGTGGATCCCAGCTCTACCGAAACGATGACGAAAGAGACTACTCCACTGTCTGCTTAACAGAGCATCACTGCGAAGACTATGTTGTGGATATTCAGACCTACATGAACGCTACAATTCATCACTTGTCGCGAAAAATCGAGGATGCCTGTGCGGATTGCCACGACCAATGCCCCAGCGACAGCGGTAGACCTCGGACGGCGGCCAGCAGTGAAGTTCCTGGTCGCACCTGTGATTTTTGCCGAGTGGATCGCTACGCTCGTGGCAATCCTCCGGTCGATGATGCTTGCTGGTCGGGCAATATGGAGGGGACGTATGCCCGTCTGTCCCTCTCGTCTCCCATTAGTTGCGGGATATGCCAACGAGATTGCAGCTTTGTGGGATCTTCAAGAACGATGGATGGTGGATACCAGGTAGAGCAATCGGATGGTTATTGCGTTTGTCGACTGCTCTGGCAAGGTTCCAACGGGGACCATTTGTATTCCGGTCCAGCTTGTGGGACGCAAGAATGGACAGGTCGAATAGAAATCAAAGTCTTTCGAGATGAAAACTGTCTGGAGGTAGACAACTCCCAGTTCATTGGTGATTACTTGATGGACGATGATGGAAATCCCAAGGTGTTGTCCTACGGATTATTTGACGCAGTGACTATCGACAATCCGCTCTCCTGCTATGTCGACAATCCACCGTCAACAACGCAAGATGCTGCCAACCAGGAACCAAACGAAATGTGCCAAGTCCTATTGAAGGAATCATACCCATGCCAAAGAGGTGCCATCGACGATCCACCAGCTGCGACCGTGTCATCGGCACGGAATAGACCCGAGACGGTCGACCTTCTCCAGTCCTTTTGTCCCGATCCATCCAATGATCAAAACGTGCCGAACAACGTCGTAGGCATGGTGGACACTGAGCAAACTACCCCAATGAATGGAGAGAGCAATGATCATGTCGAAGAGAACCAAAGTAATGGTGCAGGCAGCTCCAGCCATAACACCCAGTTGACACCAGAGAATGATGACAACTCGGAGCAAGATTCAGATTCATCCGCAACGATGGCCTCCAAAAGTTTGGCAGCGTCGCTGGTCTCACTGCTTTCCAGCTGTAGTTTCGTGGCAACGATTGCAGCCTTCTAATGTTCACTTTGGGAAAGGAGATGCAGACTCGTCACTCCTCGTTTTTTTAATGCGAGAAGAACCCGCGTTCGCATCTCTCTACGGTATGGAACATTAAGGTCTCACTCCCCACATCGGTTTAAGAGCATGCAGATGAAAACTTTAGCACGTTTCTACTGCTCCCTTCTGCGGGCCAAATGATGCAACGAACACGGTACAGTGTATCCACGGGCAACTGTCACGTCAATGATGAAGTTCGGGCTTGATAAGTTATCCTGTTATTATTGCTGCTATTTTGCTTCAAGATTACGTGTACTAGCTAGCTAGTCAAAGTATTCCCCAGATCTGGTGCCGATCTTGCGCCTTGCCATCCCCAGAGCTCCGGATCTCATCAAGGGCGCCTCATAAAAGAAGACTGTCCAGGATGGTTGCTACTAGACTGATCATTGCTTTATCTTGGTGCAGCTTCTAGTAGTGGCTTCTGTGGCCACGGATGCTGCACCAGCAGATAATGGTGCCATGAAAGGAGAGCAACCTGAGGGAGAAGAGTTTCGGATGAACACATGGGACTTTCTACACAACTGGATCATGGGAGGCACCATGGAGGCAGTGAAGCAGCCTTTGCCCCAACCAATCTTTGTTATTGGAGCAGGTCTACCACGAACAGCGACGGCTAGCTTTCGAACAGCCATGGGCTTGCTGAACATGAAATCTTATCACATGATTGATGGGTGCATGGAGACTCCCGGCCACCAGGACATGTGGTACAAATTTCAGGTTGAACAATCCATTTCAATAGATGATGTTCTGGATCCAACATCTTGCCAGGAGAAGCCACCCAGAACTGTTTCCGTAACTGTCCAGCTGTAAGGCATGCCGAATGCACGACGACATTCTCCAGCTTTTCTAGTTTAAAGTTACTATCCGCCAAAGCCTGCAGGAAGAGGGGAAGGAAACAGACAGTCGTCTTAGAAACTAGTGAAAAGGATAATATGTTGCTGTTTTCCTCCGTCACTCGCTCTATCAGCTGGATGCCAGCCAGCCATCGTTGACGAACACTTTGCTGCGGATTGTGTGATCAATCAGTCTCGAAGTCACGGCAATGACCATTCACTTTGGTCGATATTTGTTTGCGGATCTTCGAGCCACGAAAAACTCTCCATGAATACAGGCTCAGTAACTAGCTAGTTGTTCGTGTTGTTGCAACTCGAGACAGTGCTCTAGCTATCAGTAATCTTTTGTGATGCCTTCCTTCCGCTATTCATCTAGAGCGTCCGCAAAGAGATCTTCCAATTCGGCTTGACCCACAGGCCGAGGGGATATTTTGGTGACTCGATGTTGTGGTAGTGTACCCTGTACCAGACTTGGAATGTCTTCTTCCGTGTATCCAAAAGTGCGCAGGCCCATGGGGACATCGAGTCGCACGGCTAGTTCCATCAGTTCATCTGCCAGCCAAAGCCCCACGTCCGCATCGGCAACCTGTTTTGATTTTGGTGCTGTACTAGCACCCGACAAAATTTGTGCACACGTCCTGTGTCGTTCCGGATTGGCCACGCCCGTAAACCGAAAGACTGCCGGGGCATTGACAAACACCGAGAGTCCGTGCGGGACAATTGGATGATCCGTGTCATACCCACTGGCGGGAGTATAGCTTTTGCATTGAGACGCGACGGGATACGACATTCCATGACACAGATGAACTCCAGCGTTGCCGAATCCCATGCCCGCAGCGGACGATGCCATGAGCATTTTGGCTCTGGCATCCTCGTTTTCTGGGTCGGATATTGCTAATTGTAGATTCTGAGCGGCCGTTTCCAATGCAAAGAGCGCCCAAATGTCACTAATGGGGTTGCTGCCTTGATACGTAGGTCGTTGAAGCGGGGTCTCTGGTTTGGGTCTCTTGTTGAAATAAAGTGCCGTGTAACTTTCAATGGCATGGCACAGCACATCTAGACCAGAGTAGCAGGCAACCTCCCTTGGTTGGGTCAGGGTATTCAAGGGGTCCACAATTCCGAGGGTTGGCTTTAACCGTCGGTTGGCAATGCCCGTTTTGCTTTGTGTCTTGGTGTCGTCAAAGATGGCTACACCGGTGGTTTCACTTCCCGTTCCTGCCGTGGTGGGGATAGCAATCAGTGGTGGCAGCGATCCTTGTGAGATGGCTGGAACTGGGAGGCCCTTACCCACGGGCGGATTCACGTAGTCAAAGAACCCACCCTTGGGTGGAAAAGCGGCATACAGGTTGGCTGCTTTTGCCGTGTCCATGGTGGATCCTCCGCCTAGAGCAACCACGGCATCGTAATTATCCGTGCCAACCGTGTTGGTCAGGAAATCAATGGCATGCTGAAAACTGGCATCCGTGGGTTCTACCCTCACTTGATCGTAGATGACAACACTGCTGATGCCATTGGTCTCCAGCGATTCTAATAGGACTTGCATGCAGGGGAGTTTGCGAACGTTGCGATCAGTGAATACAACCACACGCTCCGCCGACAGAACATGCTTCAAGTCAGCCCCGACTTCGGCTGTGGATCCTGGACCAAATCGGAGGTTGGAGGCCGCCAGCTCACAGATCGGGTCGTTCTCGAATGGTTGGGAGGAGTAGGTCGCTCTGGTGGCGAGGCCCAGGCCCAGGCGATGGCAGCGACGGGAGAGCAAAGCTCGGATTCCAAAAGATGATACCATGAAGAAAACAAATACTAAATAGATACGTTAAGGAGCGAGGGGGGCTAAGCTAGGCAGAGCAGTGGCTGTGGGTGGGTGGGTGGCTGGGGTGGTGGGGGTACCGGGAGAGCAATGAGGACGGGATGGGATAACGATGATCGATGTCTCTTCGCAAAGATGGGAATGTCAAGGCATCATCGCAATCATCAAAAGATACATTCGTGACGGTTCAGTCATGAATCGAGGAAAAAACTGACTAAACGTGGATGCGGTACTCCCGTGGATCTTTGGACCTTTAGCTTTACATCATGAGACTTTGCCAATGTCAGAGCCATGAAGTCAAATATCGATCTCGGAAGGTGGGTCTTCTACGATAGCTAGCTAGATAGTGTTTACGGGATGATACCATACGGATAGACCATTCATTTCAGAGACTTTGACAATACTTTGAGGATTTGTACTTTTGGTTGTTACTAGCTACTAGCAACTAGTTCTCGACTCATCCATGCCGAATTGGGCAAGGTCGGTGAGGAAGGCGCAAAACATTCTTTCCTTTCCACCGTCAATGTTGATTTCAGAGAGCTTGAGCTCAATGTCCATCTCGGATCCATCCTGACGACGCGCCTTCAACTTTCGGCGCCTTCCCATTGCCTTGGCCTCTCCAGTTTCCAGGTACTTTTTAAGGTATTCATCATGATGCTCTGCGTGTCCACCTCCTACAATCATACTGACGTTCTGCCCCACGAGCTCTGACCGCGTCCAACCGAGATGATCCAGGGCAGCCCTGTTGACACTTTGTATTATGCCATTGATGTCAATGTGAAGAACTGGATCCAAAGACGTGTCGATGGTGCCCCGAATGATATCCTCGTTGCGTTTCCTTTGGGACAGGTCATGAACGTATCCACAAAACATGCGCTCTCCATCAGGACCAGGCTCCAGCTCCACGACGGCCAACTGGATCGGGTATTCACTGCCATCTTTGCGCCTGGCGGGTAGTTCACGCTGCTTACCAATGACTTGTGTATCTCCAGTCTCCAGGTACTTCTTAATGTAGGAATCGTGGTGCTTACCATGGGAACCGCCACAAATCATGCTGATGTTGTGACCCTCTAGTTCCTCTCGTTCGTAACCAAATGCGGTCAAGGCTGCTTGGTTGACCATGAGAATACGACCGGATTGGTTAATGTGAAACATGGGGTCGAGGGACCCCTCCACAATCTCCTTTGTCAGTTGTTCTCGTCGCTTGATGCGACTCAAGTCTCGGACAAAGCCACAGAACAATCGCGTGTCACCACTAAACGTATCCACCTCCACAACTCCCAGCTCAATAGGAAACTCGCTGCCATCTTTGCGTTTCGCAATCAATTCTCGATTCTTGCCAATCACTCGCGTGTCCCCCGTTGCCAAGTACCGCTCAATATAGGAAGCATGTTTGGGCCCATGCTCTCCACCACAAATCATGGCAATATTCGAGCCCAAGAACTCGTTTCGGGTCCATCCAAACACCTTTTCGGCCGCGCTGTTGACCATTTGAATGGTCCCGTGCTCGTTGATCTGAAATAGTGGATTCAATGCTGCTTCAAAGACGGCTTCTGTGATGACTTCGTCTCGGTTGTATCCTCCAGTGGTTGCCACAGTGTTATCCTTGTTGCCAATTTGGATCAGCCCAAGTCCTCCAGTGCCTTCTTCTGCATCTTGTGTCAGGTCAAATACCACGCCTAGGCTTTCACTTGTGCCAGGGCTTTTCTCGTCCTTCTTGCCATCTACCTCAGCATCTGCTTCAGTGGTTGTTTTTGGAGCCCACTTGATATCGTTGACGTGCTTCCCAATGAGGCCCCAATTGCAAAAATCCATGGAGTTGAGAGCGAGCTTGTTGAATTCCTTGATGATTCCATGCTTGTCTACTGTCATTTGAGGCATATTGTCGAATGACACCTTGTTGTTTTGATTTAGCTGCGATCGTCGTTTCCTTCCCTTACCGCTGGATTGGTGAGATTGTGACTGGGCTTCTCGGTATGTACCCATGGCCATGTCATGGAGGTCGGCGTGACGAACATGGGCAAACCAAAAATAGGTATCCACTTGACATAGTTTCAATGTTCCAGGAAATGATTTGTTGTTGTTGGTGGTTTCCTCGCTGCCAACTTGGAGTTTTCCGGTAATGGTCCATTCTCGAATGGGATCATCCGACCGGGTAGCAAACTCCATGACCGACTTCCAAGCCAAGGTATCTTCTTGAGACTTGGCATCTTCCTTGGGGAGAGAGTGTGACCAAAACGATGTCAGTGCGCCAATGGATCTTCCCACCAGGTCGGTTTCTGGGGCGACTTCAAAGAGCTCTCGAGCCAAGGCGGTGGCATGGACAATGGTAGCATCTTCTTTGGATGCGTCGAGCAGAAACCCTGCATCAAAGGATCCCTCCAGGATGGATTTATACAAATCTCTGACAGCCGTGGCCATGGTTCCAAAAAGACTCGATTCTCGCAAACTTTTGTCTCGGACAGGAAAATGAGTTCTGCGTTGCAGCTCACCAATACATTTCTTGCAAAGATCCAACAGCCCTTCACCTCAAGTCTTATTGTTCCCCGTTCTTTGTGACCTGGGGATGATACTGCTGGGCTGACAGGCAAATAGCTCTAGCTAGCTAGTAGGATCCGCCTTGACATGATAGATCTCGAGAGAGGCCTCATCGGCCTTCTTTTCAAGTTCCTCACTGTGGTCCCGCTGTGTAGAACCAGGTACGGTACGTCAGTCACTCTCGTGAGCAAGATGTGCATGTACGTCATTGGTGTCAGCAAAGCTAATCTCTAACTCTACGTGGAGGCTTGTTAGTCACGACTATGACATAGTCGACAGAGGACTCGATTCGACTCGCGAGTGACGAGTCAAGTCACCCGCCTACCCGACTGATCCATCTCCGCGTCCGCAGCTCGTTCCGCAGCTCCGGCTCCGACAACAACACCAAACACCATCCAAGAGCGGCAACTTGAACCTTCGTCAGACAACAACACCAGACTAACCAAGCATCTAGCTATCATCCAGACTATTCTGAGAGGCCCAGGAAGTGTGTTGTTGGGTAGTATAGAGCATGAAATCTGTCATCTGTGGCTCAGTCTCATCTCATCACCTGTCATTTTCCATCTGGCAGAATCTGTCATCTGAAAATTGGGGTGAAAAAATGGGATGTCACCATGATGAGCTCACTTTTTTGTTCAACCGGATTGCTAGAGTTGCATACCCAACCGAACAAGGAAGACTTTCGCGATTGTTGATAAGCCTAGGCCAGATCAACCCCCCAGACCTTATTCAAGTCTACTTTTACCTTTTCTATCAATCTTCTATTCAATACCTATCAATTGCAAAATGAAGTTCTCTTCTTCTATCATCAAGCTGATCTCGTGGTCATGGACCACCGACAACAACAACAGCAACAACACCAAGAAGACCCCCGTTCTCCAGGTCGCCAAGGAGATGACGGGCAACAACAACAACAAGGATGTTCCTGCTGCAGAGGAAGTCCCAACATTCCAACTGGACGAGTTGGACAAGTCGGTCATCGAAACCGCAGCACTGTTGCACGGAAAGCATCCTGTTGTGGAATTCCAGCAGCACGGTCGCTACCTAGGTGCCTACGACCTTTCCCTGGTTCCTGCGGATCAGCATGGTCACTATGGATACGACAAATACAACCAGCACCGGCCCAAGGGCTGTCACATCAAACCCAGTCAATCAGCCAACGCTCGCTGGAAGACCCATTACGGTCAAGACACCGAACGGAGCAATGGAAACCGTTTATCCTTTGCTCCCGTCAACACTGTATTGGGGTACTCTTCTGATGAAAGCGAACATGAGGAAAACAGCCGTGTCTATCGAGCCATGAACCAACATGTGCCACAGGCCCGATATGAATTCTGGCATGAAGCCCAACAACAATTCATTTCCCTCGGCACACCCACACCCCACGAACGCGTCTTGGATCTTGTTCAGTTGATTCAAGAGTACGGATACCAACAAGTGACCAAATGGATCACCAACAACCTATGGTTCCAAGGCGACAAAGCGTTCCTAAAACAAGCCCAACTGTACATTGAAATTGATGCCGTGCATCAAGACCTCGAGGCACTTGTTCGTTTCATCAAGGCGAAGAAAGGAAATGACAAGCAAGTCGCCCACTGGTTCATGGTCAACGAAAAGAACACCTACATGTTCGAACTCGCCATGTGCCACTTGCATCACGGTGGAATTCAGCGCAACGCTGACGACGAAATTTGCACCTTGAATACGCGAGAACAGATTGCCAAGCGACGATTTGTATATCGCAAGGTCAAGGATGTCTGCATGGAAGATGCAGCACCCGTAGTAGTAGAACAACAACCAACAACAACTAAAGATGTTGAGGCAATAGAAAAAGTCTCAACCATCGACAACAACAAGATGGCATCCGATGCCACAGTCACATGCGAAGCATCGGTGGTTCCCACATGCACAGCAGTGGTCCCATACATTCAAAAGTGGCATGTAAAACACTTCAAGATCTTTGTGCTTGGACAACAGCCATTTGTATTGGAGATGCGAATGATGAATGGTGTGCTACTTGGAGTGGCACCCAACGGCATTCTTGCAGCATTGATGAAGGATGGTGGAGGCCTTGTCAAGGAATTCATGCGGCAGCACAAGACACTACGATTGGAGGCAGGTGTTGCCTCGGACAACACAGATTACGAATTCGTGACTGGCCAAGTGGCAGCTGAAGAACCACTGGTCGAGGTCGAGGAAGAACAACAGGTTGACGCTGATGAACCACTGGTCGACAACCGAGTCGATGAGGAGGACAATGTGGACGCAGCACAATCAACATTGCGGCGGTCAAAGAGACGCATGGCGGCGATTGCATCTCAGAGAATCACAGAGCAAATCAAGACAAAGCCACGGCGGGTGGCAGAACAACCTAGAATTAATCATAGACGCACGGCGAAGAAGAAAAAGCGGACAAAGCCAAAGGTGAAGGGCAACAAGAAGAAGACGACACCTGTGACGGACACACAGCAGCAAACAACAGTTCAGACAACAACAACAAGTCGGTCTGGACGGCAGGTACGAAAGCCTGACCGGTACATTCCAGGTTAGGACGACAACAGGTAAGTGGGGGCGGCGGCAACGATGGATTGGGGGAACTACTAACACATTATTACAATACACAACGAGCAAGCATCTGGTGGGGTGCAGGGCTATACAACAATTTTGCGAAGATGAATACAGTTGGTTCAATTGAAGGGTCACATAAAAGGTAGCCAGGTTTGTGGTTCCTGTGCTAGGCAGCCTCTATTGCAGAGTGCTTGTCCGAACGTCCTCCACGAGACGAAAGTCCAAAGTTAATACCCGTGACACCTGACAACCAACCTCTATCATTGTTGATGCTATGCTACAATCTTAAATACAACAACCAAACATGGACATAGAACAATAACACATAGTAGACAATCTTTACAAACAAAATCATGGCTTCATTCTTTATAGTACAGTGGTTGTAGTAATTGAGTTCATCATCATAGTAGCATCCATTTTAGGGCAAGCCTGGATCCTTGTATCATAAGCTGTCCTGGCTGTGTCCAAGTCACTTGGAACCTTTCAGTGGAGAGGAGGCCCCCCTTGCCCCAATCTAGCCCGGCCATGCTTGCTCGACTTGACTCAGTTGCAACCCAGAATGTGGGCACCAATGCCGCGGTTTAGTTGCGCGCAGTTTTCATCAAGCTGGCCAGCTTCTGAAGGTAGACGGGTCAAGGCGAGGAATTCCACAACAACTGAACAATGGGAAGCACGGCATGCATGTGAGCACCACGAGGCCATCATGCACTCCAACAACGTATAAACTCACCTCATGCGTGATGGATGGGGGCTCTCTGGAGGAATTGGGTTTGGTTCCTTTTAAAAGGCTTCGCTGTGTATTTCTTTGTACTTTTCCGGATTGGCGGAGCGTGTGGTTGTATTCACTGATCGCAACGTTCGCAAACTCCCCTGCATGCAAGTCCTATTAGAATCGCTGGAGACCAATGGCATCAGCAGTGTTGTCGTCTACGATCAAGTGAGGGTAGAACCCACAGATGCCAGTTTTCAACGTGCCATTGATTTCCTGACCAACACGGTTGGCACGGAATATTATGATGCCGTGGTTGCTCTCTAGAGGCGGAGGATCCACCATGGACACGGCAAAAGCAGCCAACCTGTATGCCGCTTTTCCACCCAAGGGGTTCTTTGACTACGTCAATCCGCCCGTGGGCAAGGGCCTCCCAGTTCCAGCCATCTCACAAGGATCGCTGCCACCACTGATTGCTATCCCCACCATGGCAGGAACGGGAAGTGAAACCACCGGTGTAGCCATCTTTGACGACACCAAGACACAAAGCAAAACGGGCATTGCCAACCGACGGTTCGGCACCGTACCTACCGGTACTGGCAAGCTTTATGTTTGATCTCAGGCCAGATGCTCCAGAATCTATCGCAAAGTCCACCGATAATAAGCCCGGGCCACCCTGCAATCTCGGCGTGAAAACTTCGCACTCAAGATAAAGATGAAGGCTGATAAAGATGAAGGCTGAATGATATCTATCTTGAGGCATCGGAAAGTCACGATCAATGGTTGTGTAACTGGGGACAGTTTCCGAGCTTCTCATGAGCCACATCATCATATCCGGCTGGTATCAATCTGTTCATGCTACTAGCTACCGGTACCTGTAGTTTGACCACGGGGTAGTACGTCTCATGTATCTATCGTCTGTCTGTCTTCTTGTTTGCCACTGCCATCACCACAATAGTTGCAAGTGAGCATACTAGTAGAATGAATGGGGAATCCGTTTTCCTCGCTGTGGACGTAGTCTGCAGCTGGTGGTCGCGGTGGGCCGTGGATGAGGACAGTGCAGATTCGATTGGATCACATTCATTCATTCGAATACAACTCGAGGTGGGTGTGCATGCGAATGAACCGAACTCAACTCAACTCAACTCCAACCGATCCTGTGCCGGCTACGGTACGGTACGGTAATCAGAGAAAGAAGAGAATGGCAGCTGCATTTGTTAGAATGCATGGATTGGGGTGGGGCATGCATAGGAAAGTTGTGAAAGATGATGCATCGCCGTCCCAACAAGGACTCCCTCATCGGAGTGACACACACCTTTGAAAAAATCGAGTGTCCCAATTGAATCTCCAATTGCCAAACCTCTTTTCTACTTTGCATGGCCTGGCATTTATTTCCAGGTGCAGGATTGTGTCGCCGTTCTGCATAGCATGAAAAGCTTTATTGTTATTGGCCACCTGGCATTGTCTACCGGTACGGGAGGTCAAGCATGCTCCTAGCTACGGTAGCTAGATCGTAATCCTTCCCATGAACGAGTTACGATTCCCATAGTCTCCTCCATGACACAGACAACCTGTGCACTCGTGTGTTAACCTGCTGCCCGAGCTCTGAAGCTGTTGGGGCAAATGAGCGACTTGTTCCAAAAATTAACCATGGAAGTCGTGTTGGTGGTGGCAGCGACCTAGCTAGTAAAACCTGAGCAGCAACGAAGCATCATTGTCTCAAAGAAAGACAAACACAGCGAAGAGAGATTGGAAAGACACCATGATACCCTGCCGGCAACGCCTTGTTCTAATATTGGCTACCTTATTCGCCATCCCATTGTTATCAGAAGCACAAGTGTTTGTCAGACTGTGCGTGATCCCTCAGTTCGTCCCTGCCAAAGCGGTGATACGGCAGTCGAATGAGAGCCATGACGAGTATTCCTGGGCTTTGGATAATACCGCTGCTCGATCCAACTTGACAGCAGCAACAACAACCTACCACAATGGCGGTCTCCGTCGACAACTGGCATCCTCGGAGAATCCGGTACCATCCATCTTTCTTCCCTCCGACCATAATCGACATCTTGCGGAAATACCCAACAGCATTAGCAGCGAAGTCTACATGGTGCGCGAATGCCCCTGTGCCCTGGATCACTACTGCCCGATTGAGTTGGATACCTGTGGAGTTCCGGCTAGCTACCGCGAGCCAATCGGATGCTTCGAATCATCCACCAAGAAAACCTTGCTCCGCAACGCCTGGCCACTGCTGATGCTGTGGTATTCGACCGTCATGTTTTTTCTCTTGTGCACGGAAAAAGGCAGAAATGCCCGACACTTTATATTAGTGAGGTGCTGCAAATCCCACATTAACGAACGCCTCGTGGATCGATTCCTCTACCTTCATGGATTTTCCCGTCGCAATCCCGACGCCGATCAGCCCGAACGACATTCGCAACATCCACTCGATTGGCTTCCCATTGCCCGACCGGTCGAACCGAGAGAACCCACCGAACTCGTCTTGAAAACCACCATCTACGACCAAGCTAGTAGTAGTGACGACGAGGCGTGTTGCACCATTTGCATTGCTCCCTTGGAGACGGGAGATCGCGTCGGCAAATTGTCGTGCACCCACACATTTCATGTCGATTGTTTACGGGAATGGCTGCCGCGACGAAATGTCTGTCCGCTGTGTCAGTCGTCCGATGCGGCCACACCTCGGTATGCCGAAAGTGATGATAGTGGTGATGCCGAAGAAGACGACAACGACAATCATGAGAATGAAATCAATGAAAATAATCCACCGGAAGATCCATTGGCATTGGCGGTCCCCGTATTTGTTCCTTTGGAAGTGGCACAGGTCGACGAAGTGGAGGAAAATCCTCGTCCGCGGGAAAGAGGAATCACAAGTGGATCGTTTGCACAGAGACTCTTTGCCGTGTCCAGGATCTAAAGAGAAAACCTCTTATGATACTCCCTGTACAGGGCTCGACCCGTAGCGCACAGAACTCCATTCACGCTATCTGTGGTGTGGCCCAGTGCTTCACTGCCAATTGGGGCTGGTGGCTCAATCCAAGAATGAGGATATTATCTCATGGCAACTTGACAATTTTTCTATCAAAACAAACAAACAAACAAACAAACAAAATGGGTCCAATCTGTCCTTATGGAGACGTCCTGTGACCAGGTGGGGTAAAACGAACAAAAAGAATCGTTCGTTGTGACGTTGATATAAGAGGAACGAGTGAGGGTTGCGTGCCAAGGAGCTGTTGAACAATAGCTGTAGACTGTGCATAACGTCTGTTCTTTATCTTCTCTTGCTTCTCCCGATATCTTGCAAATGCCAACCTCGATGCATTTTGTGGGGGGTAAACTAGAACTGCTTGGGTGGCTACACTTCAGCACCGTAGCTCATGGCGGACATCGAGCTGAGCTAGCACTAACTGGGTGGCTGGCCAGCCCTGGCTAGACCTTCAACTTGCCGCGATGTTGGCCGGGATTGTGGGTGTGTCATGTCTCCTTCTTCGAGTTTTTCGAGCGAAACAACTACGACAATAGATACTACAAGAACAATTAAAAGTACACTTTCGACAAGCCGAAGCAAAAAGTAAGGAAGCCCGTGGATCAACTGCTACTTTCGTCAATGCTCTTCTTCCTCCGAATCGAGTCAGAGTCGAATCCGATGCCACCATTCATAGTAATTCAAGGTAATCATTGATTGTTGATTGTATTGTACTAGTAAGGTGTCGCCACCGGTTGATTTGGATTTGCCCATACAGGGCTTGAGTTGTTTGGTGAGAGGGCATCCGTGGTGACATCCACCTCTTCCACGACAACCTCTCCATGATCATTGGTGGTTTGTTGGTATGTCACGGTTTGAATCTCCGTTGGTTTGGGAGGCGGTCGAGTGGGTGCCCCCATCATGATCATGACCACCCCCGTCACAAAAAACAAACCCAAGGAAACCAAGTTGGCATACATTCCCCAGTCCCATGAGCAACCTTCCTCGTAGGCACTTTGCAAAGCATCCACATTGTCCGCGAATCGATTAGCAATGGTTCCAAAATTTCCCCCCTCAGTAGTATTCTGCGAATCTGATAATAAAGCGGAATTGGCTGCATCTATATGCCCTTCAAGCACTGGATTTTGTTTGCAGGCATTGCTGGTCAAGAAGAGTAAAGTCAAAGCTTGCAGCCCTGGAATCACCAAAAGGAACATACCCGCCAGAGATTGCCAAGTGGCCCGATAATAGAAAATGCAACAGGGGGACATGTACAGTCCCACTGCAAGGAACCCAGCAAAGATGGGAGCGATAATGGCAAAGGCTCGTGCTGCTTTCCAGGCTGCATCCACAGGAGTTCCCTCTGGGTAATCGGCACAGCTATCGATCACTTTGAAAATGGATTCTGCAGAATCGATAGTCACATTGCTGACTTTACTGTAGTAAAAGAGCCCAAACCGAAAGGCATCTTTATCTGATGCAAGGTCTACTTCAGGAACAAATTTGATTGCTTCACACCAAACAGAGGACAGTACGGAAGCCGCAATCCCCAACGTGGCAATCACAGCGGGGACCAAAGCAATACAACTATATTTTAGCGCAGAACAATATTGGTCAGAGCTGTATGTAGCAATACCGATGCCGTACCCTGTCCACAGCAAACTCACCATACCCCTGTGCCTTCTACCATTGTTTACGTTTATCTATTTGCTTGCGTTCTTGGACGATTCGATATCATTCGACGTAACAGAAGCTATTGGTGCCAGAGTGCCAGAGCCGAGTGCATGGAGCGAAAGATGTCACGATGCCTTTTTCTTGATTGCAATAATAATGCAATGTTGCTTCCACGCTCCACGCTACGGTCCCTCCTTGTCTCTTGCTTCGGAAAGACACAAACTTTGACACAAACTTTGAAAGTTGCAACTAATCCACAACCACACCCAGTCGAGTACCGGTACGTACTGGTACTCAAACGAAGCTCAGCTATGGAAGGAGAAAATGGCTTTGACTGCGGCATGGCCTTACCCAAGCATCAGAATCAACATTCAATCCAAGCATCCACTGCTTCCAACCCACAAGCACCCCTATCCTGCCTGCAGCATGAGCACATCTGGGTCAACAATATTTTCCCTTTTCTTGGCATGGGCCACTACACCTTTGTGGCTCCAGTCAGCCACACAATGAAGGATCTCTACAAGTCATACTGTGACACTGTGGAGAAACCTCCACTCATAAAAACCTACAACTTCAGTAAGAGATCTGCAACTCCTACTGACACATTCTACAGTGCAATTTTCTCCAGTGTGTCCTGTGCAGAGTACTGGTACAACCACTGCCATACTGGCACTGATGGACAGATTGATGGCACTGTTGTTTGTCCTGCAGCTGCCAACGTGGGCAGTCTTCCAGTTCTTGCATGGGCCAGAATAAGGGATTTGACTGGGATTCATCTACATGTCAGGCTGCTGCAGGAAATGGCCATTTGCAAGTCCTCAAATATCTCCATGAAAATGGATGTCCATGGAGCATTGGGACATGTACACATGCTGCCAAAAATGGCCATCTGGCTGTATTGAAGTATGCCCATGAAAATAGCTGTGACTGGGATAAAACGACTTGCAGCAAAGTTGATTCAAATGGTCATTTGGGGATTCTGAAATATGCCCATGGAAATGGATGTCCCTGGGACAATTACACTTGCATTGAAGCTGCTAAACGTGGACATTTGGAATGCCTCAAATATGCCCATGAAGAAGGATGTTCATGGAGTGCAGCTACATGCCAAAATGCTGCAGGAAATTGCCATTTGGAAATCCTGAAATATGCCCATGAAAATGGCTGCCCATGGAACCACTACACATGCCAGAATGCTGCAGAGAATGGCAATATGGAAATCCTCAAATATGCTCATGAAAATGGATGTCCATGGGATAGATGGACATGTGATGGAGCTGCTGAAAGTGGCAATTTAGAGATGCTCAAATATGCCCATGAAAATGGCTGTCCATGGGATAGATACATGTGCGATGAAGCTGTTGAAAATGACAATTTGGAGGTGCTGAAGTATGCTATGAAACAAGGTTGCCCATACTACGGGGCCAGTCTGCTTCACAAGGCTATTCTGCTCCAACAGAGTAATGGCCACATGAAGGCTTGGGTTCGAGACTTCTTATCCAGGTGTGTGAACGCCTGAAATGCCGGTTGTGGGAGCAAAATGCAAGGTAGGCACACTTCTCCCCTTTCAGTGTTCATTGTCTGCTCAGTCTTTGGATAGAAGCAAACTTTGAAATAGAAACATGATTTTGCCCAACCGATTGATATCTTTGCTCTTTGACCTTGTATCAGTGACGCTGGTACAGCCGTACAGTACAGTACGTTTGGACGATGAATCAACATTATGGACCAAGACATGGCGAAGAAAGGTTGAAAAAGCGTCAAGGAGCGCGCTACCGGCATCTAGAAGAAACTCTCGGGCGATTCTGGCATAGTTTCACCCCGAGCTAAGCAACCACAGTGCTTTCTGTGGTAAGGGCTTCAGTAAGTGCTGCGTTCTACGGTTTTAGCGACAACGCCGGTTTGTTTTCTACCCCCACAGCTGGGCTAGACATCTTAGAGATTCACAGTGACATCAATGTGACAGTCTAGCATGTCCAAGACTTTGGATTGGTTCAATAGCACGTCTCCCTGGAACAGACTCTCTCCAATATATGCGCGACCGCACCACCCAACCAATTCCTCCGTCAGGTTTCCATCGACTATGAACCACGAGGACGCTTCCTGCTGTTGAAGACGCCCCGAGGTGATTGATGTGGTCACTTTGCGATACTCTGCTCCAACACCGATTCTCTTGAGAGCACGAAGAAAGGTCGCAACCAGCATACACATCCAAACACCACAATCATTGGTTCCAAACGCCTGCTGAGGAACATTTGCATCGATCCAAATGCTGTTTTGATTGGAAAAGCCAAGGTCCTCGAAGCACTTGCGCATGCGTCTCATATTGGTGAATTTGTAAGCCTTGCCCGAATCCAAAAAGGTAAAGATGCCAGATTTACAAGCTCTTCGGTCTATGACCACGCAAGCGAAGTGACCGGCTTTGCTGTTTCCTTCGAACAGCTGCAGCACCGTGATTGCTTCCGTATCATCTATCAAATTGTAATGCGTCTTTCGAGCACCTTGCTTTTGCAAGACCGTGGGCCACACTTTCTTCCAATCGCCTTTGTCCTTTGCTATGCGCTGAAGGTTGCCCCACACAAAGTCACCTGTGGTTTTCACTGGGAATCCACTTTGACTCAATGATCGCGACAGCATCGACAGGTAGGCAGTTGTTACGTCCCCAGATACCAATTGGCCCTGAGAGACTAATTTAGTAAAGTGCGCAAAAGTCAAAATCGACCCCCCTTTCTTGGGATCTGGTCCCGAAACGTTCAGAATCGTGGCATCTTGGTCGTGTTCCAGTGGGGAAGCAGTGAATACAGGATACGGGTGTTCTTTCGTAAAGGTAGCATCCGCAGCAATGGCTGTACCCAAGCTGATAATGGCGGGATCCTCAATGTTGATATCACATAGGTTGATCAAGACGTGATCGGGCCACAGCGTTTGGTTGGTTGGTCTGGTGGGATGATTCCGAGCTGATCGCCGCTGGTGTGCTGTGAATTGTGACTCTGGTTTCGTTTCGAGCTTTGTTTTGTTATACTTCTTGACTGGTGTGTCTTCTTCGTAGGAAGAATCCGAGTCGTACCTTAACCCGTATCTGGTATTGGATCGTTTTTTCTTGGCAGAACCTTTTCTGTTTGCGATGAGGCTTTTCCCATTGTCGATCAGGTTTCCCACGGCTTGCGTCATTGCGCCCAATGCTGCTGTCGGTCCCCAACCGTCTTTCTTGTTTGACTCTTCGCGAACGACGACGGTTTCGTTTCGCTGGGCAGGTCTTTTTTGCGAAAGGCGGTTGTTTGGCTGTCCCTCGGAGACTTTGTGGTTTTTGGCTGCCCGAACAGTGATTTTTGCTTCATTTTGAGGTGTGTCGCCCTCTCGCTGTCGTTTTTTGGACGGTGGCTTGATCCAAACTACTAATGAATCGTCGTCATCCTCTTCGGTATCCTCCATTGCAACATCCGTGAGAGCTGTGGATTGACCGTTGGAGGACTCGGGTTTTGTTGCATCTTTATCCTCCATAGACTCATCTGATACCTCTGATGTTTTGCGAGCGTCACCTGAGGATTCTTGTGTTTGCTCATTAGAAACTCCTACCGGCGATTGTTCGTCAGCTGGAATGTTGCTAGCCTCGACCGGTGCTTTGGTGGGTGCCTTGTCATTCTTTGCAGTTGTCGTGTCTTGATCATCGTCCAGTCCATGGCTACTAGTATCCACGAGAGTAATCACCATAGCATTGTCATTTTGTGAATTGTCATTCTGTCTAACTGCAGCGCCTTGTAGCTTCAGTGGCCGTTCTGAGACTTGTGGCTCGTTGGATTCTTGCTGGCCAAGTGGCACTTCAGATGCTGCAGCGGCATTACTACTAGTAATGGACATAGTGGATGTTGCTTGTGCACTTTTACCATCAACCACCACAACATCCACTGAATCCGGGGCCTTGGGGATTACTTGCTTGTTGCGAGAAATGGCTCTTGTAGATGCAGTTTTTTTTGTTTCCTCCTTTGTTGTGGCTCGCCGTGGAGACGATGGTTTCCCCTCAAAGACCGTGGCCCACCGGTCGGAACGATTTGGTTCTTGAACAAAAAAAGCAACCTCTACTTCGCTCGACTCTCCACAGAAAGAACATTTTCTTTTTGTTCCTTCTAGACATTGGTAGTGATAATGACGCTTACAAAGCTTGCACTTCCACACGGTCCCCTGACTTTCATAGACCGTGATGGATTTGCCGTGCCGGCAGTGTTCGGCGTCGCAGTGATCTGCTTGGGCGACTTCGTCGCATACCAACACCTCAACCATGGAACTATTCGACGACATGGGCAAGATTGATTCAAGGTACCGGTAAAACCCACAATGCTGGAAGAGATGAAGAGATCCTTTGAGCAGGAAGGCAAGCTTACACAGATGATCCCAACAGAAAACAGGAAAGCTCACACAACTAGAAAGCCTGTCGTTGGTTCAAAATCAGCCCGTAGAGCTGAATTACATAACAGCTGTCGTACCGTATTCGGTTTCGCTGGTCCTTTACAACCCTCTCAAGAAACTGAAGCCTGCTCCCTCCTGCTTTAGTTGTCTTTGTAGCTTTGCTATAGCCTTACTTCGTAGCCAACGCCGGCATGATGCTGATGCCAACACGGACAATGAAAGCAGTTCAACTGAGAGTCCCACGATTCTGCCTCTGGCGTCCTCCCGCGTGTTTGCTCCGTTTGGATGCGATAGTTTTTGGTGGTGGGAGTTGTCTCGATTAGTTTCGATAATCTCCAATAGCAGATAGCTAGCTGCACAAGTCTCACTTTCCACACAAAGCTATAGCCAGTTAGCTGCGGAAGTCTCACTTTCCACATGAAGAACAGGAGGTCCTCCAGCGATCACGAGATGGATTACACGGAATATTCGGCAAATGACGATATCTTGGCTCTAGGATTCTCTTTCGAGAAGATGCAGATTCAAAATCATGTATTGGACCCTGAGAGGGGTACGTCGCCTAGTACGCCAATGGGGCTGTATCATGACGATGATGGCGATGAAGGGTTGCGTTTGGCATTTGATTGCGACGAAACCCTTCCTGATCGTTTCAACGATGAGATGAAACACTCTGATCGAGAAGTCCCCACGGCGGATCTTCTTGGGCTTGGGACGGAAATGCCCACGATCGGACTCATCGACACGACGTCTCCGTATTTCGACCCGTGGCCTCGTGCTTCTGAGACTGTCAAATCGCATATCGCTTCCGAAGCGAAGGCACAAGTCCCTTGCTCTTCTGTGTCGCTTTTGCGCGAGCAAGTGTGGACTTCCACTATGTCGGAGGATGCTATTGAAGTTCACCTTGCAGGGACAGGCAAAGACGCAGTCTTTCATTCAAACTGGAAGGACCCAGAAAGTCCAGCATGCCAAAGGGATCAGCGGGTACCTGTGAAGAAGCAGGAAGGATATCCTGATGAAGAAATGGCTGCTATGAAAGCTTCCACCAACCCGTATCACACGCAAGAGTCCAAGTTTGATGCAGCACGCTACGGAGTCATCCAAGATACCGATTTATGGGGCAGCAGCCTTCGCAACATGACAGGAAGAAACGCTTTAGTCACACGAACACAGACCACAACTGCGGAGAAATCATGCAGATCGTCTTACTTGTCCGATTCCTCTCATGAGGACGATGAAGATAACGATGATCCTGTTGCTGCTGCGCCTTCTCCCTTTCCAATTTCGGGGGCCGGGCCTCTGCCAGAGAGTCGTTTGTCTTCGGAAAGACCTACTGCTCCTGCGCCTGCGCCTTCTCCCTTTCCACTACCGGTAGATTTTACAAAGAACTCGCCAGGCTGGAGAGCAGGCCAACCAGCATCAACACGGCATCAGCCCACCCGACCCTATGCAAGCAAGGGACAGGATGGAACACCAAGATCTTTCGCACCTGCACCAGCACTTGATCCACTGGATGGGACAGTGAATTTGTCGACCAAGAGAGTCGACAGCGCTGCAGTGCAACAGCCAGCTTCAGCAAAAAATAAGACTTCCACCACAGAAGCAAGCAGTGGAAAGTATGGATCAGTGCAATCACTAATATCTTCTACGACAGCATCTGCACCTTCCCCCTTTCCGCTGCATAGGACAATGACCATGCCAAGCAAAGAAAGAGTTGAGAGTACAACAGCGAAGCAACCATCTTCAGTTGCACAGAAGTCCACCAATACATTTGCAAACGCGGTCCTCAATGGCCCAAGTCGACCACCTGTACCTCCTGCACCTTGCCCAAGTCAACCACCAGTACATTCCACACCGGTTCCTTCTCTGGAGGGGACAAAGACTCTGCCATGCAAGAAGACGGTTGGCAGTGCCATCAGAGATAAGCCCTGCTCAGTGCAACAAGTGCAAGTGAAGCCATCCTCGTATGCCAGTGCAGTCAAGGGTGGGCTGGGAAGGCCTGAGCAAGCCATGAGATCAGCTGCCCACGTAGCTTCCCCGCACCACCTGAACAGAGCAGCCTCCTCTGATTTGGCAGATCATAACAACAAACGTGCACGACTTGAGTTGAGCAGAGAGGATGCGCAGGAGAAGCATACTGCCGCAACACGCTGGGACAGCGGGCATAGCAAAGTTGACAGGGAACCGCGACTACATCGGGATAAACAAGAGAGCCTGTACCCAAAACATTTCCAGGGCGAGCCAAACCAAAGCCTGCAAGAGAAAGCGCCCACCCGTGGATCGTTACCAAAGCGCACTGCTCGAAAGGATGGACATAGCAAGGAAAGAAAGCAATACAAAAATGGGCATCCGACCCGCAACCGAGTTATCCAATCTGAAACAATGCCCGCTAGAGAGATTCTTGTGAATGAAGTGTGTCTTGTTGTTGATACGTCGAATGAGACCATGAAAAAGCTCCTTGCGCCACTGAGACCAAATGTTGGGACGTTTTGTGACCTTGTGTCGTCAGCGTCTGGTCGAAAGCTCCGTCTCAGTATCTTGACACCTGAGAAGGAATTAGACTTCACGTCCGATAAAGCCGCGGTCCTATCATTTTCCCATGATGCACTTCGAGAAAGCGATATGAACGGTGCACGAGAAAGTGATACCTACTCTGTTCTCGCCGGTCTTCAACAATCCTTGACACGCTTGAAGAAACTGAGCTGGAGTGGTGACTCTTGCCAATACGTCTACATTTTCACAAATCTGGTTGCAGCCGACATCGACGACATTGTGTCGAAACAAAAGTTGTTGGGTGTTCTGCGTGATTTGACTGCGCACCTGCCCAGACGCGCGAAGGTCCTTGTGGGTCGTTGGAAGAATGACAATGATCTTCTGTTCGAAGCTATTCGGACAATGCCTCACCATGGTTTTGATTTCCTCAATGTAAAATCGATGGCATCTCATGTTGTTCCCGACCATGCCCTTCTTCATGCTTGCTTTTCCAGCATGACCGAACTGAAGGCGCAGTCTCGTCGTGTCACGATAGGTGAAAAGCACTTGGGACGCTTTGTACATCGCAGACTGAAGATGGACAAGGAAGGCGACATCGTTGCGAAAGTGACAATGTATCAAGCGAAGCCGGTTGAAACAATTCAGCACATAACATCAAATGCCGAACCAGATTTTGTCTGCAAGGAGATCTGGATGAAGCGCGGCATGGCAGAGAACCGCTTGACAAAGCATAGAGTCTTGACTTTTGGAAAGCTTGGTGTTGAAAAAGGGAAATGGAAAGAAGATGTTATGCTGAAGTCGTTCAAGCTCGACGTGATCGCTGGAAAGACAGTCCCCAGCAACCAAGACTACTACAAAAGCTTGGCATTTGTCTCAGCAGCAGCCCGGTTCCTTTCATGCCAGTACAACAGCTCGCACAGACCAGAACACTGTGACGAAATCCGGTTCTTGAATTGTTACGTCATCGAGGCGAGTGGGCGACATTGGTTCGCTGAGCACTTCGTTGCATCCGAACGAAAAGACTCTTCAGAGTTCGTGGAATACATGAACGCAGCTGGAAACTGGAATGAGGATGTTGCGGACGAAAGCTTGCTACGTTTTGCCCTCACTTGCTTCAAACTCTCCGGAGGCGACTTCATGTTGACAGGACTGAAGGGGGTTCGGCGCGGGGGATTCTTCGTTCTGACTCTTCCTACGCTCTTGTCGCGGAACTGCGTTGATCCGAACATCAGCCAATGCAACAAAGAATACATGAAAGTATGCAGGAAAGAAACCAAGGAACTGTTGCAAGAGCTTGACGCCCCACGTTCACCAAAACGCAATAATGGAATGTTCGGGTGGTTCGGCTAGGAGTATCGGTACCGTACCAAGCTTGTGACCGTCACTGGGCCTCTCTTTGGATCCAACCAACCGACTTATTGTGAAATCCATCGGCTCATCACGGCTAGTCTCGAACCTCCAAAGTTTCCTCGAGGCTTGAATCCCAGCCGCCGCAACGATAACCCATTTCGAAGTAAATTATTAACATGAACGATTCTTGTCATTGCAAAAAGCTTTACTACCGCAGTTTCTTGTCATGCCCTGGTTCGAGAGTAAACCATCAGTAAAACTGTTTCCGAGCTGACAACGTTCCGTCTGGCATCCAGGATTCGCTGCCCACAAGCACCCCCTGCCTTCGATCGATTGTCGTGTTGCCAAGCGGTTGGTGCGAGAACACCACGTCGAAACGAAAGCCATCAAGTCAATTATACAGCTCCTTTGGGTTTCCGTGCGGCGGTAGGCGTAGGAGTTGAAAACGCGTGGTTCGCTCAAGCAAATGGGATAGAGCATTGGTCACGACAGCCAAAAAGGTGATGCAGATACAACTCTGGGCGTAACGACTCGTGTGCATCTGGAGCAACTGACTGAAATTCTCGCGAGAACTTGGCAGTTGGAGTAGCTTTGGTGTGCTTTGTCCCGGAAGATCAACCTCATCGAACCTATGTACGAGATGGGATTGAGTCGAGGAGTCAACAGCAGACGACGGGATTGCAGTGGTGTATACTCACTGCAGCAGCGTGGCGATAGCTCCCGACGTTCAGAGCCAGATGTTCGTGCATTCGACTGATGAGAGGAGGGCTCACAAGCAAGCGGTTCACGGAATCAACAAGCCTCTTCCGACAAAACACAGCTTAGTTGCACAGGCGATGAAAATGTCTTCTTCGTTTTCGGTTCTTGATCTTGACGATGGGTGGGCAAGTGTCGACGCCTGGGAGAGCCCAGACATTGTCTCGGCTGCGCTAGCCTTCGAAGCTGAAAAGGACGCCGCCAAACTAGAGAGAAAGTTGGAACTTGAAAACAACACCCACGAACGCCTAGCTGAAGAGGTCAGAGGCCATATGGCTGAAATGGCAAGTATGCTCAAAAAGGTCGAGTCGAGCACCGCAACAAGAAGGGAGATGGAGCGCCTCTCTGATCTTGACAAGGAGATGAAACGCCTCAAGGCCGATCTCACAGCCACAAAGTCCGCCATCAAGAGCTACACCGAAGAAATGCTCAAATCAAAGTCCACGGCAAAAACCTACGCCCTGATGAAGACGGTCAAGGACCGCGACATTCGCAGTGTCATGCGATTTATCAAAGACGCCGAAACTGTGGATTTGGCGTTTCTTCTTGATTGCACGGGCTCCATGGGCCCACACATTGAGGCTGCCAAATCTTGCATCAAGGAGATTGTGCGCCGCGTCAAGCGCACAAATGAAGGTTTGAAGCTCAGAGTGGCTGTCATTGGGTATCGTGATATTTACAATCGCGACGAACGCTTCGAAACATTGGACTTCACTGAATCTTCAGAAGAGTTTGAAAGGTTTGTTTCGGCATTGTCACCGATCGGAAATGACGACCCTCCCGAGGACATTGCTGGTGCTGTCCAGAAGGCATGTACCCTTTCGTGGCAGCAAACCTCCAGGATCACCTTTCTCATTGCAGACTTTCCTTGTCACGGTAGTCAATATCACAATTACCTCCGTGATAACTATCCATCCGGAACACCTGGTGTTTGTATTGAAGCACAGCTGAAGAGGCTCATGAGCTTGGGAGGCGAAGCTGGAATGCAGTTACATTTTGGTCGGATCACAAAAAACACGGACAAAATGATTCGAGTCCTTCAAACGAAGGGATTTGAGTTTGATGAGTGCGATGTCAAAGATCCAGGAAAGCTCACATCCTCTGTGGCTTCAAGCGTTCGCAAGTCCATCTCAAAGAGTGTCACTGCGTCCAAGTCCAAGTCTGGTGCTCATCGGGAACCTGAGACACTCATGGAATATGTAATCTGCGATGCCAAGCCATCAGGTGAAGCTTGGAAGTCTCTCAAACTTTGCCCCGTCAAGGTTTTGTGCAACAAGCCAATCAGCTCTGTCAACGAACTGAAAAATCCATTGCACTTTGGGCTTGTCCGTTGGGGAAAGTCACCCTCGACCGAGGCGGAAGAAAAGATGGTGCTGATGCGCCGTGCCAAGGATCCTTTTGCGCAAGGAGAGATGCGCTTGGCCTACTATGGCAAGCTTGGAATGGATGAGGCTTCACTCATGTCCACCAAGGGAGACAAGATCTTGAAGACATTCAAGAAGACTGGAAAGTCTTCATCGGAACGAAAGCGTTATCTGGCCCAAATGGAAGTCTCCAACATTGCCCACTTTTTGGCCGAGGAATACAACAAGACTCATCGCCCCGATCACTGCCCCAAGATTCGATTCCTCTCTGTGTATGTTGTTGAAGAAAGCGAAACTGGCACGGAACGCTATTGTGCTGAAGACCAGCTCCCAGGTGCTGCAACTTCCTTTACCAAGTACAGCAACAACACTGGTTACTGGAACGAAGATGAGATCAATCAAAGCCTTCTTCTTTTCACTCGCTTCACTCATGAGAAAACCGGAGGATATTTGATGGTCACTGACTTGCAGGGCGTTCGTCAAGGCGATGAGTTCATTCTCACGGACCCTGCAATTTTGTGTAAAGATAAGACTCGCTTTGGAGAGACCAATCTTGGCCATGTTATCATTGAAAAGTGCATGAAGGCCACAGAAGCAATGCTTGAAGAGTATGGCTGGGATGATTGAACAAACACTTGACTCGTTTCTTTACTTAACCAGCTCTTGACTCCTCGATTGATTCATTGGATGATTCATTGATGATTGACGACTCGCTGATGATTGACTGGATGCACAGCCACTCAAAAACACAAAACTCTTTTCTGCCACTCTTTTCTGCCTTGACCGACCCAGACAAATTTCAAACCGCATTGTATGCTCTTTATTCTTGATCGAATGACCACGATATCCAAATGACCTTGCTCTTCAATTTCCCGAAACCCAAACAGTATAACCCTAACAACATGAAAGTAGTATCAACACACCATCAAATGGACTCTCCCGAGTATTTCCTTCCGTTCCTTCCATGCCTTGACCCTGAGTTGGTGTGATCCTTGAATCGGAGACTTAGCAAGCGTGCCCGTAGATTCTTGACTTGGCCTATGACGAAGTGTAATTCAACTGGACATAGATCGCCGGCTTCATCATCGTCCAAGGAGGAGGACCTACCGATCCAACTACTTATGTGTCTTTGAGCACCAGTCGCATGGGAAGATTCGATTCGTTTTGGAACATGAAAAGCCCCACATTTGCAGGCATGGCTTACACCACCCAGTATTTCCCAGCCGAGTGTTCACACCACTCGTCGTTCGTCCACCGATGGAAAGAAGCCCCACTCTCCACTTCGTGTGCTCTCCATTGCCTGCTCTGGGTTAGAGAGGTTCAGGAAGGTTGGCCATCATCTCTATCTCTTGAGTGATCCAAATCTTCAAATCTTATGCAATTGGTTCGATGACGAAAGTGAGAAAACGGCTAGGTTAATTAAGACAACAGAGTTGCCAAATAGGATCGTCTCAATTTGCGTCCAACGGTTACTTGGCGCCGGCGTGGAAAGCTGGGTCATCCGATCAACCAGGCTGCCGACGCCGCAAGATCCAAGAAGAGGCCGAGCGAAGGCAATGCCATTGACCAGCAAAAGAGACGATAGATACGATCCAACCCGCCGATACATACCACTGATAACCACCCTTGACCAACAACTATATTATTAGCTAGGAACCATGGACGACGACAACAACTTCTTCGCTGTAGCCCCACCTGCCGATGGTGCTCCTGAAGCAGGCGATGCCCCCATTGTGCTAGGCGAGGCTCCTCCTCCAGTCGATGGCGGCGGTGACTTTTTCGGCGCTCCCCCAGCCGATGAGGCTCCAGCCCCTGGATCGTTCATTGGAGACGTCAACGAAACCGACAATGCCTTTGCAGCTGCACCCGTCGACGATGCCTTTGCGGCTCCTCCTGCTGATGACGCCTTTGGAGGCGATGCCTTTGGCGGTGGAGATGCCTTTGCAGCACCACCCACCGAAGACGCCCCCATCATTTTGGGAGGACCTCCTCCAGAGACAACAGGAGAACCAGAGGAAGAAGCCGAGCCAGCCGAACCCACAGGGCCGTCGCCCATGCAAAAGTGGAACGACGAGTGGCAGGAAACGCTAAAAACCCGCAAGGACGAGGAAACTGCCAAGAAGGCCGAACTGTTGGAAGCAGCGCGACTTGCCTTGGAGAACTTTCAGAAAGAACGGGAAATCAAACGCGAGGCAAAGATGTCCAAAAATCGAGAAGATGAACAGCAAAAGTTGGAAGCCATTGAAGCCGATTTGGAAAATGACAATAGCTGGCAACGGGTCTGCAAGATGGTCGAATTATCCCACGATTCCACCGAAAAGGCAGAGGATGTCAAGCGTATGCGAGATGCCCTGATTTACTTGAAAAATGACACGGCACGAGCTGAAGTGCTAGGATCGTAGAGATTGAGAGAGAAAGGAACGTGATCTCCATCCATCCCTAATTTGGGATACGAAACAATAAATAAATCGAGGTGACTGACGGTTTGAGTCAAAATCATCCAATGGCCATTGGAACGGAAGAAGCAAAACACAAATGGACTGGAAGAAAACGATTACTGACTGTTAGAGCTGTAGTGCGGGGATTAATCTTAGAAAGTGCCCTTGTGTCATGTAGATTTGCAACAGGATCACTCTAAAATATGATCTGGTGCAATAGGGGAACAGGTCAGTGATATCGTCGGTGGGGCAGGTACCGTAGGAGAATTTTTGAAGCCATCATACCAAGGTGGCTTGATCCACATTTCTAGCTGGCATTGATGAAATTTGAGCACTACATGTAGGTACCGGTAGCTGTCGTCGGTGCACGGAAGAGGCGCCGTGGTGTGAGGATGGCAGTTAGATGCACACTTGTTTGTTGGCATCATGGATATTTTTGGGTTGTCTCCCCGCCGTGCTTGCTGATGAGTCGATTCCAAGTTGGTGTTTGCTGTGGTACCATCGTAGAGGAACTTTCCGTGTTCTCCCGAGGGTGGATAGGTTCCAATAGTTAGTCTAGTCTTCTCTATTGACAACATCTGCTTTTACGCTGACGTCTAGCTAGCTGTTCAGACCAATCGTTATTACCTCAGCAAAAATCTACCAATTTCCCCCAATGAGATTGCCCGATAAGGTAAAACTCTTGCAGAAACGGTATGATAGCTATACAGTTACGGCACCAATCACGCTGTGCAAGAGTGGAGCTCCAAGATTTTACTCTTCTTCGTTTGGTGGCACCGCCGGCAGGTCCAACACCGCTTTGGTTTGGGGCGTTACATCGCCTACGGTCTGGTAATAAATGAGAGAAAATCTCGTTTGATCCGGTTCGTAGGGTGCCACCCAGTGCACAAATCGTCCATCGACCTTGGCAAACTTGTCGTGCGTATCGATGAATGCGACTTGAGTGGCATTTAATTCGACACAAAGCTGTCCCGTGCCGTTGTCAAAATCTCCCAAGGCAATCCCATAGAACGGACCAATGTTTTGAGTATCAATATGGGGACTTCCCACAAAGTTGTGTGTCACGGCGAGCGCCGTGAACCGGTGGTGTGGATCGACGTGACTTAGTGCCGCCTTGGCCAAATCCCACAATGCCTGGTGCTTTTGCAATTTGGCCGCTGCCAATCGTTGTTTGGTGGAATGGTCCGTACTAAACTCTTCCGGTGAGCGAAGAATCATGTAGTGACTAGCCCGTATCTTGGGTCGTTCCCGCGGTGTGGCCCGCTGTTCGTGGACCCATTCTTGGAGTTTTTGGAGCAATGGTTGTAGAATGCGTGGATCGACAGGTCGTCCTTGAAAATGTACCTTTTCACGGTTGGGACAGTGCCTTTGGTATGCTTCCAACATATGGTTCATGACGTTGTTTCTGTCAAAGGAGTGTGGATCGTTGTCGTCTAAGGTGATCCCAAAGGTTTCTTTGAGTCTCTGGCGCAGAGTGGGGGTACTGAGCGGTTCCAGCTGGGACCTCAAAAGGGTAGCATCCCGATCACAGGCATGCTCTTTTCCATTTGTATTGTTGTGGCTAGCATGATCTTTCTCTTCTTCTGCTGCTGCTGGTTGTTGTTGTTGTTGTTGTTGTTGTAGAGTGATTCTGATTTCCACTTGATCCTCCAAGACACCTTGCAGTGCTACTAAAGCCGGCTCTTTTAATTTGGCATGATACCTCAAATCCAATAGTCTCAGACAGGGCAATGCGGCCAATTCGTTCAGAGGCAACGAACGTGCATAGGGTCTCAGATTATTGGCCAAGGCATGAAGTTCCTGGAGCTGCGTGAGCTTGCCAATGTCGGGTGGGATGGCTCGGAGTCGATTTCGATTGACATTGAGAACTTGTAGATTGCCGAGGCTGGCAAAAATGGCGGCTGGCAGCTCCGCCAATCGATTGCGACTCAAATCGAGATGCGTCAAGGTAGACGAGGGCCTGTGAGGGAGAAGCTGTTGCTGCTGCCAGAACCAGGAAGGGATCTCTGTCAAATCTTGGGAAGCCAAGGAACACGATGAGCTACCACAATCAGTCGAATCATTCTTCTCCGCATCTTCGTCACATCCTTGGGATGTTGTAGACTGGCCGTCAGTAGTGCTGCAGATTAGCCCAGCCGTCATCGGGTCAACTCATTCCGAGAATATGTTTGGAAATGTGGTACAGTCGCAGCCCCTTAGGTTTCTTCCTCTTGCTTCTATTTACCGCTATGGGTATCTGAGAGTGTTCCCATGTCCCTTGTCGGGAAAATTTAGAGACTGGATCTTTGAGAAAAGATCCTAACTTACCCAACCTAGCTGGCTTACCATGGGATGGTACGTGTTCGGTGCCAAGTGGAACCGAGGGTTCAACTTGTCGCCATCGAGGTTGATGCGGTGACGTTGATGGCCCATTGATGAGGGCAACAAACACAAGCAGCCACAGGTTTGACTTGAAAGAAAGCGACACCTGTAGCTAGCTAGCTCTGTTGGAAGGTTGTTGAATAGAAGACGCAAACTTTTTGTCAGCGCCACTTTTCTCGAGCTCGATCAAAACGGCTCTTCCCTTATCCATCCAGGTCAAGTTTTTCCTGCAATATTTAGCCACCAAAGGGTTCTTTTTGTTCATTACTATACTGCACATTTTCCAAGATGAAGTTGACTTCAGGAGCTCTGCTGCTGGCCTTGGCGGCCATGGAGGCAAGTCTTGGTCAGGCCGTCCATTCTGGCCTTTCTCAAGCCCTTGGTGTTGCAAGAACAAATTCTCTGCTCGTGAGAAACCCAGGCTGGGCGTTGAATATCCGAGGTGGATCCATGGGTGAGAATCACGGAAACAGCCTTGCTTTATCCTGAAACTAAACTTACTTGTTGTCTAACATACTTGCTTATCTTTCTGAAGCTGTAGGGGATGACGAAGATGAAGAAGAAGCAGAAAAACCAAAGAAAAAAGCATCGTCCAAAAAGAAGAAAAAGAAAAAGTCCAAAGCTGCAGAAAAGAAAGCAAAGACTGCCGAAAGCAAGGATGAAGCTCAAGACTTGTCCACTGCCATTCTGGGTGGTTCTACTGCAAGAAATTCCATGCAGGTCTTCTCCTATTCCACTGAGGAAGAAGGACATTCCGTAGTCGGCATGACCGAAGAAGCACTCGAAGAAATGGGTCTCTTTGAAGGGGATCCCGTATCCATCAAGGGAAAGCGTGGTAAGAAAACTATAGCTAGTGTGGCTGTGGTAGCCAAATCCGACGTATCCTCTCTAGTCGATGGAAAGAAGGAGGGACAACTCCCCATTGGCATGTCCCCGGATGCCATGAAAAATGCTGGGGTCCGGGCGGGAGACGCCGTCACGGTAGTCCCTGCTCCCAATGTCAAGTTTGGAAAGAGTGTTTTGCTCCTCCCCTACAAAGACTCACTCGCATCCGCTGGAATCAAGGAAAAGGAAATGGAAAAGGCTGGCATTTTTGATGACTATCTCAATCCATACTTCCAAGGGAAGTTCCGAGCCTTACACAAGGGTGACGCATTCCATATCAAGGGACCCCTTGGAGAGCTAGAGTTTCATGTAGTGGAAATCGATTCGGTAGAAGAGGATGGTGATACAGAGTGCATCGTTGTAGATGAAACACTTATTGAATGCGACGGAGACCCGGTGGACAGAGATGAAGCGGACGATCTGGACGGTCACGGATACGATCAGATTGGAGGGGCCAAGAAGCATTTGGCAGCAGTTCGGGAACTAGTGGAGCTACCTCTTCGTCACTCGGAACTATGGCGCAAGCTAGGAATCAATCCACCAAGGGGTGTCCTTTTGACTGGTCCATCAGGATGCGGAAAGACAGCCATGGCAAAAGCAGTGGCGGCGGAGACTCAGGCTTACTTCTTTGTCATTAATGGCCCAGAAGTCATCTCTAAGAAGGCTGGTGAGAGTGAAACAAACTTGCGTCGTGCATTCGAAGATGCCGAAGCCAATGCGGCGGAATATGGTGGAGCCATCATCTTTATTGATGAAATTGATTCAATCGCCCCAAAACGTGAAAAGGCTGGCGGTGAAGTAGAGAAGCGTATCGTTTCGCAACTGTTGACTCTCATGGACGGCCTGAAGCCTACATCAAAGGTTGTGGTCATCGCTGCTACCAATCGTCCCAATGTCATCGAACCTGCACTTCGGCGTCCTGGCCGTTTTGACCGCGAACTTGACATGGGTATACCAGACGAGGAGGGCCGTCTCGAGATTCTTCAGATCAAAACACGGGACATGCGATTGGGAAAAGACGTGGATCTTGAGCTATTGGCTCGCAATACACATGGTTACGTCGGGGCTGATCTGCAACAGCTGTGCATGGAAGCAGCCCTGGAATGTATCCGAAGCAAAATGGGATTGATCGACTTTGATAAAGATCGGGTCGACAAACAGATCTTGGACAGCATTCTGGTCGAGGGCAAACATTTTGACCATGCTATTGGCATTGTGCATCCTTCGTCCCTTCGAGAAAACCAGGTCGAAGTTCCCGACGTGCATTGGGACGACGTTGGTGGGCTCGAAGATGTGAAACGGGAATTGCACGAGACAGTCCAATACCCCGTGGAACACGCTGATAAGTACATCAAATTTGGCATGAGCCCGAGCAAGGGTGTTCTTTTCTATGGTCCACCCGGTTGCGGTAAAACTTTGCTGGCAAAGGCAATTGCCAACGAGTGCGGAGCAAACTTTATCAGTATCAAAGGTCCCGAATTGCTAACACAATGGTTTGGTGAGAGTGAAGCTAACGTTCGAGAGTTGTTCGACAAGGCCCGTGCCGCTAGTCCCTGTATTCTGATGTTTGACGAGATGGATTCAATTGCGAAAACTCGTGGAAGTGGTGAGTATTGTTTAGTGACACGCGATGAAATCGTGGTACTTCTGTTCGTGTTTTTCTAACTCACTGCTGTTTCAATCGAGCAGGAGGGGCCGGAAGCAGCGAGGCAGGAGATCGTGTCATCAATCAGATCCTGACTGAGATTGATGGTGTAGGCGCCCGAAAGAACGTCTTCGTTATCGGAGCTACAAATCGACCCGATATTCTTGATCCTGCTGTGATTCGTCCTGGGCGTTTGGATCAATTAATTTACCTCCCGCTTCCAGATCTCAAGAGTCGTTTGGCTATCTTCGGCGCCCAGCTCCGAAAGGCTCCCTTGGATCCATCCGTTGATATGGAGGTTCTTGCTCGTTCGACCCAGGGCTTTAGTGGGGCCGATATTGCTGAAATCTGCACAACGGCATCCAAACTGGCCATTCGGGAGGCCATCTTGGCAGCGGAAGAGAGGAATAAGAAAATCGAGGAAGGAGAAATCGACGAGGACGAAGCTGGCTCCTCTGAGGTCGGCAGCCACATGTTGATCGGCAAGCGGCACTTCAATTTCGCCATGAGTCGAGCACGACGAAGTGTTACCGAAAAAGACCTGGCCCTCTTTGAAGAGTTCGCGGAAAAGCAGAAAGCAGGACGGGGAGAAGCTGCCTCCAACTTTAAGTTCGATACAGCACTTGCTGGATCCGAGGAAGATGGCGAAGCGATAGAAGACGATCTTTACGAGTAAACAGCTCACTCGTAAAGTCAATATGCGCTCCATCAGCACCTGCATCACCATAAACCAGCTATCGTGTATGATTGAAACAGTCAACGTTATTTTGTTTGTTTTAGATACGAAGGGTGCCAGCTTTTTCGTTTCTGTGTTGAGATGTTTCGACGAACCACTGCTTCTTTAGACTTTCAACGCGGTTGCCGTTCATTTGGCTTGCGTGCCGTTTCTTATTAAAAACAGACCGCCCAAACGCAGGGCCCGATGGGCGACCGGAGGAAGCCCGAGGGGAGGGAGGGCGCTGGGCGAAGCCCGAGCCCGAACCGGCCTGCGTGGGGCGGATTGTTTTGATGGGAACAAGAACCGTTACGGTCTGTATCTGCCGGCTTATTTATATTTACACTGTATTGTAGTAGTAAGCTTCAATTTTGTCCGCCCAATCCATTTTGTTGTTCTCAGCCAGACGTTGACGACCGACAATGGTGTCCACTCGCGGCAAAAGCGGCGCCATCAAGGCCAGAGGAAGGTCTCTCTGTTCGCAGATAGATGCCATTCAACAAGACACAGAGGTCGGACAGTTGGTGTTCACTCAAATCGCTGAGGAAGAAGAAGAAGAAGAAGAAAAGGAAGAAAGAAGCACGAAAGAGACAGTTCGAGACAATCCGTCATATTCTTCCTCTTATGAGAAGAGACTGTCACACCCGGAAGCTGCAATGTTCACAATCAAGCACTTTGACTCTAGTAGTAGTGAAGAGAGTGATGATGAAGAGAGTGATAGTATTGTTTTGTTCTTTTCCGATCAGCTTTGCGCCATGCCCACGGAGGCGTATGTCCCAAGGACTCTTTTCTTTGTGGACCATTTTTGGTAGATTATTAATTGGTTTGTAGTCCTTTGGTATTGTCCTTGCCAACCTTCTTGTTCAAGTTCAATGCCACGACAATGCACACTTTGTTGAGTATTGCATGAACTTTCTTGTCGCGACTATTGCCAAGAACGTTGAAGAACTGATAGTCAAGGGACTTTTCATCGGTGGCCAATCCGTTGTATTCAACTGGAACCTTCTTCAATAGATCATCAAAAGCATCACCACCATGCACTCGGAGTTCCTCGAAGAACCTTTTCTCATTGGCGACCTTTCGCGCTTCTGTTTCTTTGGTGTTCTTTCCTCGTTTGGTGGTTTTGATTCAGCTTCTGTTTGTCTGCTGTCATCTTGTCGAATGCAGTGTCGGCAAGTTGAAGAACTATCCGCGATTTCTCTGGTTTTCTACAAGTTGCGTTGGCTGGCGGTGAAGGAGCCTCTTTTTGTAAGGGTTGTACGCGACTGAAAAAACTGATGGTGGACGAAACTGGGCAACTGTTGAGTCACGGATGGACAAATGCACTGGATCTCAGATCTTCTCCCAATTCCATATCCTGTGCATGGAACCGCTCTGAGAAGCCATTTTCTGACATTTCCGGACTTTTTCTTTTCAATCATTGCATTGAAGTCTTTTGCGGCGTCGATGGGGCTGTTGCAAGACCAAGCAGAAGATCAGCTCCAGCAAGTTGGGTTGAAGTAGGGCCTTCGAATTCATTCTCTGCGCGATGGGCAGTGTTCTTCCAATCCTCGACGCCATTCTCAAACTTCACTTGAGTCAAGAGCTGTCTTGGTGGATGGAAAGGCTCACAGCTTCTGGTACCAAGTACAACTGCTTTACCTTGTGACACTTGATGATTCACTTCTTGTGCCCTAGTACGTGTGGGATGTTCTGGTGAGTTCTCTTCTTCGTCGGAAGAATGAAGGGTGAGTTTTTGCGACATGAGTGGAATGCGACTGCTGGAATTCTCACGACTCTCTTCATCATCACTCTCTATCCCA